GTGAATGGTGTGTGAGTGAATGGTGTGTGTGTGAATGGTGTGTGAGTGAATGGTGTGTGTGTGAATGGTGTGTGTGTGAATGGTGTGTGAGTGTATGGTGTGTGTGTGAATGGTGTGTGAATGAATGGTGTGTGTGTGAATGGTGTGTGTGTGAATGGTGTGTGAGTGTATGGTGTGTGAGTGAATGGTGTGTGTGTGAATGGTGTGTGAGTGAATGGTGTGTGTGTGAATGGTGTGTGAGTGAATGGTGTGTGAGTGTATGGTGTGTGAGTGTGCCCTGCGATGGGTTGGCCCCTATCCTGTGTTGTTCCCTGCCCTGCACCCATAGCCTCCGGGATAGGCTCCGGACCCCTGCGACCCTAAATAGGATAAGTGGTTTCACAAAATGGGTGGATGGATGGATATAATGCATGTCTGTACCAAATGATGCAGCATACTTTCCAAACTATTTGTGCCTACAGCTTGCCTATATGATGTTTGTGCTACATCATGAGTCACCAAACACTGTATATCATTTGAAATGTCATTTGAATTAATCCACTTTAACTTCTTGGCTTCATTAATGGATATGTGTTGTCTTGATGCCCCTGTCAGAAAATCTCAGAAGTGCTTCAACTTTCAACTAAAAGTACCAAGTAAGTGATAATTAGCCCAGCGGTTAACTGTGCTTATTTATAAGTCTAAAGGATTTATGAAAGGACCCTGATCCTAAAGGGTTCCATATTTTTGAGATGAATTAAATTGATTCCAATCATTGAATAAAACAATTGTGACATTTTCCTGAATGGATTTAATCACACTGGAAGTGCAGTGAGATGCTTTGCCAAACACATGTGGGGAAGCAAATCCACAAATATTTCATTTGCAAGGAACTAGGGAAAAAAGACAACATTTATAAAGTAAACAACATAGGATGAATAGGTATTGGTTAATTATGTGATACAATATTTCAGCAGTACCTGCAAACAAATAATCATGGTCTTATGTGTACAATCAAAGGTTTCTGCTCCGTTTTCATTGTGCCCACTGGAAAGGTTGACAATGGAAATGTACTGTACTGTAATCCGTTTTCAGATCCAGATCTACACAGGGACGCTGCCAGCCCAATATTCCTGCCACTGCCATACTGATGTCAATAAACATGACTTATTAATAATGACTGAGTCAATCGAAATCAAAATAAGACCATCGCGATTGCTTACAAACTTACTGTAGTCCCATCGCGTTATCATTCTCAAACCCGATTCTTGGTTCGCGCGCCAAAACACGGATCGCTACATGCACGCTGCCGTGCACGGACAGTAATGCGCGCGCGGCCGTGTACGGAACCGGACCGCACGGTGCGCGCCTCACCTTACAGTGTGGGTTAAACTGAATTTCTTCGACATTAGAAAGAAATCGGTTCTTTCCCCGTTATTATCAGTCTAACACGCTGCCAAATTTAAGACCTCCTTAAAATTCAAACGTGACATTTTACTGGAGCAGAGCAGATCAATACTGCAGCAGGTATCCCGGTGAAAGGGGTCTAGCAAACCACATGCTTCTCCAGCTGCCCTGAGGCTGAAGGAACACGCCAGGCCACACCTACAGTACATGGCACAGTCTCAGAGACTGAGTCACTTCAGCCAGAAGCCTGCTTCAGTGATGGTCACTGTGCATTCACAATATGGATCTGCATGGACTTACAGTTAGTTGTCCAATGAGATTTTTTTATCCATATATACATTTTTATACTGTTTCATACAGGAATTGATTTACATTAAATATTTCAACAAGTAATTCTGTAAGTACATCAGTAATTCTATGAGGCCTTTTCCAGAATTCACAGGATTCAAGATTCTACTAATAGTTCTATCAGTTCTGGTTTCAGACCCCTGCAGATGATTCAAAAAGTGGCCCTCGCATGAAGTTCAAGTCCTTGGTTCTGGCTTGCAGGCCCATTAGTGGACAGGGACCCATCTCCATCAAAAAGCTCCTCAAGACTGTGTCCCACCTTGCCGTCATCGGTCAGAAAATCCATGCCCCTTGGACGCTCTCTCCACTGTGAGAGAAGTCACTCCACACGGCTCTCTTGTGTGGTCCCCAGGTGCTGGAATGAGCTGCTGAACGACATTTGGTCATCAGACTCTCTCTACTAAGTCCCATTTGTTTCATGAATTTCTCTACTAGCCTGATACATCTTTACATTCCCTGCATATTCTTATGTTGCACTTTTAGACCTTGACTAGTCTTATGAAGTCCTTTCTTTGTTAGAAGTTGTTGTGTAGCTCCTGCTCTAATGCTGCTCACACTCGTACCTAAGCATTCATTGGAAGCTCAGCCTAGCTGCACTTATGCCTATTTGACTCCTTGACAAGCAATGTGCTGTTTGACTCACTTGTATGTTGCTTTGAACAAAAGAATCTGCAAAGTATGTAAAAATGTAACAAAAATATGGTCATTCCATTGTGGGATTTACATTCTTCTATAGGATTACCAAGGATATGAGTCCACTTCCTTAACAATTACACCACCTTCTGCTCATATAATTTTGCATTCTGGCCAATGGTGAACATAGTTCAATTGCATTAATAATATTAGATTCTTTGTGAAAGACGTGTTAGGCGGACCCACATGGCGGTAGGAGGCGTGGCCACACCCTTCAGTCTGTCACATGACTCTCGCTCGTGTGAGTCACCCGGTTCCCTGCCTGTCAAAGACTGTCCTGTTCTGACAAATGGTTAAGTCTCATGAGTGATCAGTCAACAACAATTAAAAAAAAACTATTTACCATTACTAAGAACTGTGCAAATGACGGAAAAACCTACATTTTTCTCATAACAATTACATGCACTTAGGATAAATGTCTGTTAAAAATTTGAATAACATAATACAGTATACCCTGGCCATTATAAAACAACAAACACCGTGCTGCAATTTGCTCAATAAATAAATAAATGTAATAACGAGGTTCGAATTCAGTTATGAACGATCCCTTTAATTATTCAAAAGCTTTGCATTCTAAAAAACAGGCCTAGTATGTTAAACGAAGGTAGAACAGCTGAACTTTAAATGAACAGCAAACTCGAAGTGGTACCGCGGTGCAGACGGTCTTCATGTAACACGACTGGCTCTATGACTGCAATCGCAATAAAGTCCATGTTAGCCTAAACAAGGGAGGGGTTTATGCATTATGCTGCCGGGCGCGGCGTCCCGGCGCTGTCATTTTTTCCCATACATTCTTTAAAAATGCCGGCATGGAGTAGCATGTGGTCGCAACCCTGGGCAATTTTATATAATGGATTGAAGCTGAAAATGTTTCTTGTAGAGAAAGAAATGCTCGTCGATTGAATGGGAACAGTCTATCGTCCCATTTCTCGATGTGATTTCTTAATTTTCGTTCTGAGATAATCACGGAAGTGTCTGAGAATGGAAGACGATGCAGAGCCTGACTTGGATGAAGTTGCTCAGCAGGATGGAGTGGGATTCAAAGTGTACCGGAGAAGATGGTTCGTCTTGTTCGTGCTATGTCTGTTAAACTGCTCCAATGCTTTGGTAAGCATTTTTCAGAAAGCCCAGTTCACTCCCTTAGGTATACCAAACCCAAAATGGTGTTTTAAGTGTTATTTGGCTGGTGATCACGTGATTCTCTTATGCAAACTTCGCCAAGAGTGTAATATTTGTTAAAGAAATTACAAACTGGTACTAATACAGCGGTTGTGGTATATTAAGTGTTTAGTGTTCCCTAATGTTTTAATAAAAAAAATGAGACAATTATTACGTAATATGCAATAATAATGCATATAAAAATGCGTAATTCAGGTATTATTTAATGTCCTCGCCTCACCGTGGCGTCCTTGAAATATTGCCATTGCAACGGGATTACTTTCGTGCATACAGGCAAATTTGGAGAGATTGACTTATTTCATTGTATTTTCCCTCTGGGACTGTGTTAAGCTCATCTGCATTACAATAAGTGTGAGCGCGTGCGGCGCCCTTCGCTCATTAATCACTGGGAGAGCGCGAGCCACAGGTGTCTCGCGGGAGGTCCGCATCGCGCGTGCATTTACTAACACTTGCACATTAAAATTCCTCTGTAACATATGCGCGTCATCCCAATGATGCGGCTAGCTGTAACGATAGTCTACATCACAGCTGTTAGGATTGTTTGTGTCAGAAATACGGGACTTGGAACATAAAGTTTTCAAAGAGAGTGCGTTCCTGCTTCTGGAGCAGCTGCTTGCGATATGAAGAGTGATTTCTGAAGTTTTTGATGTACAGAGGAGTGTAAGGTGCAGCACCCTTTTGTTACATCTGGTATGGTGGCATCAGGAAGGCTGTTTAGTTTGCGGAGTCACTGCAGCGGCAGCAAGTGGAGATTTTAGTCGTTCAGATGGACGTCTGTGTAGTGCTTTTCCTAATCATGTCACCATAACTCTGGTTACCTCCATCCAGTGCCTGCCAGGATGCCTTGGGATCAGCATGCATGCACTCTTCCCCCCCCCCCCAGCCTTGCTAAGTGGATTATCCTCTTTACACATTATAGGTCACACTCTGTCATTTCGAGGAACCGTGGGCAATTTGAGAAGCGGCGCATCCCGGCCAATAGGACGCCCCGCTTTTGTGGCGGGTGGCTGAGCAGCCCGATTCGCTCTGAGTAATACAGAGCTGAGTAATCTCGCAGGCCCTGTGGCATGATTGTCATAGTTTGTCCAGTTTCTTAGGGCACCGGCCCTGTGGGAGAAGTATCCAGAAAGGCCCCAGACTTACAAACAGTCGCGTTGCGGAGTTTACACCCCCCTACTTTCAGTTCCAGTTTCCCACCCTATCAAAACCCAAACCCCATTCCTCAGTCTGTCAGTCTCCAGCAAACAATCCTAAGAACCCGATGGATCCTGAATGTTTGAAGACCCCCCCCCCCCCCCCCGTTTTTTAAATGTAAGCAAAAGAACATCACTGAGCGAGAGAAATCGAGGAGACAGGAGTTCAGAAATGTGACTTTTCCATGCGTTTTCAGTTCTGCGGGATTGTCCGGTCGGAGCTGGGATTCATACAGGAAGCCGCGAATGAAATGTGCATCTCCCCCAGCAGTAATTTCTTATTTAAATCTCCTGCGTATGATTGACTAACTTAAGCGCAGAATGTTTTAATTCACTGATTAGTTAGATGATCCCCTTTGTCTAACAAAATAGTACAATCTGCGATAATGGATGATGACGTTAAAACAAAAAACCCAAAAATGCATAAATACTGACTTTACAGGGCAGGGAATAAAAAGGTGTGATGAATGGAGACGAGGTGGAGATGAGGTCATCATTGGTGTGATTCAGGAAACCACAGCACAGCACTGATATAATCTACCACATTTCTTGATTAAGTCAATGTTTCTGTGTGTATATTTAAATTTGTATAGAGCACTATATGCACCATGAACTGTACCAACTAGTCATATATATCTCATGTGTTATAGGGCTGCCCGAGATTATTCTGGATGACGGGTAGCATTAAAAATGTAGACTGGTCAGAGCTCAAATGAGGTTACTGAGAGAGTGAATAAAAACCTATTAATGTCTGCAGACGGCCTGGTGGAAAGAATTGTGTGCAGTGTTGCTGGAGACAAACCAATAACTGTTACCTGTTTGTCTGCCTTAAGCGTTAAAACAACAGTTTTAACCACATTTCTGCTGTCTTGGGGACATGCTTAGTAGCGATGCACCGATAAGGAAATTTCTGGCTGATACCGATAGCCGATTATTTCGAGAATCGATACCGATTGTTTGGGAGGTTCCGCTTAAATAATTTACTGACTGATTAGCGTTATTCGGCAGGACTGCAGTCTTCGTTATTGGGACGGATTTATTTTTCAGAAACTCTTCGCCTTAAGATGACCAATCGAATTTGTAGTGTTGAAACGTTTATTAGTAGATCCTACTCGTGAAATTTTAGCAGAGCAATGTTTGCAAATGTATGCATTTCTGTCTCGACATTAGAATAATTCCACATACATTTTTCGGACTGTTTCTAAAGGGAATTATCGTCGGTAAAGATCAGCTCAATTCGAACCATCGACCAGTGGCCGATTGTTGCTGTACCGGCCCATATCGATAGCTGTCCGATACAATCGGTGCATCTCTAATGCTTAGTCAACAATGGATTTTTATCCTACTCATCAGAACATCCTGCATTTAGACTCCTTCAAGGACCTCAGGTGTTTTTGGTAGAAGATTCTCTGATCTTGACTGGGGCACTTTTATACAGCACAGACATCTAATATGCTGTGAGGGTCATGAATCTAGACAAGGAATTAATCCCATCTTCTAACCCCCTAAGGCGGTTAGGGTTGTCGGGGGATCTGGATGCTATCCTGTCAGTACAAGGCTGGGGTACACCTTGTATGGGATGCCAGTCCGTCGCCGGGCACATAAACGCACACAACATGCACACAACCCTGCAGTACAGAAAGCTTAGATATGCTAGTTGGCCAACTGCATGCCTTTTGGACTACAGGAGGAATCCATTTGGAAGAAGTCTGTTTGGCACATGGAGAACATGCAGGGTTCATGTGTACAAAGTAGGATGTGAACTCCTGGAAGTATGAGGTGACATTACTACCCACTGGGCTACTGTACCAGGGATTCATTTCGTATTGGAAAGTCACAAGGAGAACTAGCAACGATATTCTGGATGGTTGTTAAAAAGCAAAAGCTAAGAATTTACAATGTTGAAGTTCTTATCTTACACCAGCAATCAGCTGTGTGCTGTTTAGTCGATCGATTGACACACTAATTAAAAAGGACTTGTGCAGTCGTTAGTGGGTTTGTGTATAAATCAATAATTATGAAGCTTGAAGTCAGGTGTTAACGAACTGTGACTGTATTATATAAGGTTAGTCATGTTTGGTCACGAGATTCAATGCGCTGTGTCAGCTGTAAAGTGGCCCATATTCCTTCTGCTTGCCCACGTTAGCTTGTGGGGGAGGGTCAAACATGACCGAGGATGAACTTTATTGATCCCAGGGAGAAATTCTTTCGTGTACAGCAGGAATGTAAAGTGGACCGGTGCAAACACGTAGCGCACAGACAGTGCACATCAGAATATTTTGCAGGAAATGGATATAAATACCAGCTGCCTTATATGCAATTAGAACAGATGGTACCGCACTTTTGCTGCGCTATAGATGAAATGTTGCCCTGAAGAGTGTCGGCTGCCACGTCGGGAGGAGGACATATAGTGCCCGTTTGCAGCAGGCAGAGAAGATCCCCAGTAGTGCTTCTTAGCTCACCGCGGTGCTGGAGAAAGGCTGATATGCCGTCCTTTAAATCCAGCGTGGTGGTGACTGATTGACTGATTAAACGCACAGCTATGGTCCTGCTGCGGTGAGGCGCCGTAGGAGTCTGACAGCTGACTCTGGGGGTGCTGCAGGAAGCGTCTGTCAGTCATCTGATCAAGTGAGGTTTGATAACATGAAGCAAAGTTTTCCATCTCATTTACTGTGACTCTGTCACATGTGACTGAATAGCAAGGAGCTGAGAGGTAACTTTTCACATTCATTTGGATTTTGAAATCAATTTCCAGCTACCATGGATACCTCTATGTTGTGGTGTTTTGTGTACATAATTTCACTGCTCTTTGACTGTTATATTTCAACATATTCTTCAATATGAGCTTGTATTATGCAGTAATATGGTAACTGATTGAGTGAGTCATTCGTCAGATGGTTAGTAGACTAATTGACTTGTGTTTATGTTAATTCTATCACCCTTCTGCATTTTGTTCACAGATTGTTCACTAACATATGTGGACTAATGGTGTTCAGTTTCTGAAACTGAGACTGAAACCGCGATACAAACATTTACGATCTCGTGTCAGTGTTCCGGAAGACCTCAACTCACCACCGCTCAATTACGTTACTAATGTTACAAAACTCATTTCTCACTTCACAATTACTGCAACACATGTAAATCATGACAAAAATATTCTGCTTAAAGTTAGGGCAAGCTGTATATTTTGTAAGTATTATACATTTGTGTCTGTTTTATTGTTTTCCAACTGTGTGTCACGTGACATTTTGGTCCAATCATGATCGAGTGATCACGCCTGCAGTAAATGATAGGCCAGTTTCATTGGCTGAAGATGGATAGTAAAGCTGAGATTGCAGAACACCCAGGCTCATTTAGGTCAGCGGTGTGGGAACATTTTGGTTATCAAGTGCAGTATAGGAATCGCAATCGTGTCATAGACAAAACGCGCGCAATTTGTTATAAGAATTTCACAAAACTAAGTTAGTGGGTAGGCAATGAAATATGTAAGCGCACTTCAGATGACTTCACCCTGGCATTGATTTCAGCAGCGCATGAAATTTTAATAAAATCAGAAAAAATTACCCTGTTTTTTTTTGGAGGGGGGGGGGTGAATAAAAAAAAAATGGGGATTTTTTTTTTCTGGTTTTATTTTTTTATGCGCTGCTGAAATGGAATCATGGCTCAAAAACCGAACTCTGAACCAAACAGTGCATTTGGAGAATTGTTCCTACACCCCTGATGTGGACATTTAATATAGATAAACTTGATTCATTTGCACGGGGAAATTTTAAGCAGTGGAACAGTTAGTAAAACCAATCCTCTTAGAATCAGAGTGAATTATTTTTCAAAGAGTTGGCAGTGCGGTGAAGTTCTTTAACGTGTCGTTTTTTGTTTTTTTTGGGAGGGGGCTCTATGGCTCAGTGAGTTAGGACCCCCATGCCTGTAATCTGATGGTTGCTGGTTCAAATCCCAGGAACAGTAGAGTGATGTCACCGTTGGACCCCTGAACAGGGTCCTTTACCTCAGTTGCCCCTGGGCCAGTCTGACCATGTATGTTACTTTGGATAGAAGTGTCTGCTACGTAAATAAAATGTAAATTCTTCCTGTCTTCCTCAGTCGTCTCTGTCCGTTTCCACAGTTATGGCTGACCTTTGCCCCAGTGGCAGATCAGACGGCCCGGTACCTGGGGGTCTCCCTGGACCAAGTCAACTGGCTGTCGCTGGTCTACATGGTGGTGGCCATTCCCCTCGGGTTCGTCACCACGTGGATGCTTGACACGTGGGGACTGCGGGTTTCGGTAGGTGGAGGATGAAAACGGCACAGAGAGCTCTAAGAAACACATGGTATAATGGATAAAATACACTGGTGTCACCACACTGGAATATTCCATTGAATAAAGTAATGTAAAAGAAAACAAATGATGATTAAAGTATTGTGTTGAGTTGGAGCTTTATTGTCACACCAGCCATATTCAGCACACTGCATACAGTGACGTGAAATAACCTTCCCCAGCACTGCAATTCTACATGTGTATATAACGTGTATGGATTGACAGGACAAGTGTGGGGGACATGTACAACACTGACTCGCAACGTACACCCTTGTGCAAATTAACTGTAACAAGTTATCACATGGACATGCATGTGGCAGCCTGGGATCTGCTGGTGGAAAGTATGCTGAGTGCAAGGACGGAGGAAGCACTGTGCCCACAGACTGGCAGGCCTGCTTGGGTGGGGTTAGATCTGGGTGGTATGACTGAGTGGATGGGCAGCGGAGGCACTGTGCCCACAGACTGGCAGGCCTGCTCGGGTGGGGTTAGAGCTTAGTGGATAGACAGAGGAGGCACTGTGCCCACAGACTGGCAGGCCTGCTCGGGTGGGGTTAGAGCTGGGTGGTATGACTGTGCTTCAGCCATCCATGTATGTTTCAGGTGAATGCTCTGTGGTTCGGGTGCTCCCCCCCCCCGTGTCGTTGTGAGGTTTCCTCTGGGTTCTCTGGTTTCCCCCCACAGTCCACAAACATGCTGAGGTTAATCGGAGTTGGCACAGTCCCCACAGGCATGAATGGTGTGTGTGCCCTGCGATGGATTGGTGCCCCATCCTGGGTTATTCCCATGCAACTTTTATCAATCCACCCAGTCCTAGACCCAGACCCAAGGTGATAAGTATGAATTAATGTGGCTGTGATCTTCATCTTAACTGTGGCCAGTCTGTCTGCATATAGACACGACAACTTGTTTCAATTAATTTGCACAAGGGTGTAAAAGTAGATAATGATGGAAGGAGTATTGGTAACGGCGGCCATAATGGTGCAAATGGCAACATAGTTAGTGGGGGGGACACACACCAAAAAGTTTGGAGACCGAGTGGCCGTGGCGACGAGTAGAAGTGGGAAGGTGGTAAAATCCCTCATAAAGATTCGGTTCATAGTTCAAATTCACCAGATAGATTATTTTCCACAGGTGAATTTAGTGTGAAGTGCAAACATACTGGTCCTGGCTTGATTTTGGAAGCTAGAAGGTGCAGACAAGCAGAGAAGGGGGGGGGGGGAGTCGGTGCTTCATGCTAGTCACGATATTACCCTGATAGCAGGTCTCATAGAAAACATGGCATAAAACAAATAGCAGTTTGCATCTTACCTGTTCTGTTGTGAACAAGGAGTCAATGATTCTAAGAACCACATTATAATTTTTTTGTATTGAGGTTAAAGGTCTTGAGTCTTTGAGGAGAATTAATTTTAGCGAAGGATCCTTTTTATATTAAACGGCTAAAGAGAGTGCAGTACGAGAGCATGGGGAAGGAAAAATCCTACGGCCTTACGAATCTTGGCAATAAACATCAGTGTGCGTACAGCTTGGTGTATTTTATACAGTAGATGTAAATGAATTTAATGTGTGTCTCTCAAAGCCGTCTCCCATCTACATAAGGAGACCCGGCGAGCATCTTTCCGCACCGGCCACTTAATGCAGCCGGCGAGTTGACTTTGCGCGGCTTCTGAATTTCTGCGCGCAGGGCAGGAACAGCCTGTATGGCTTGCTGGTTTTCACCCCGTCGCACGTCTTAATTGTCTACTTAAAGTCGTCTGAAGAGAACATTTTAAAACAAATTTGAGGAAGCGCTTCTTTACACAGCGTGTAGTTAGAGTGTGGAATAGTCTTCCTGCTAGTGTAGCGGAAGCTAAAACCCTGGGTTCCTTTAAATCAGAGCTAGATAAGATTTTAACAACTCTGAGCTACAGTATTAGTTAAGTTCTCCCCAAACGAGCTTGATCGGCCGAATGGCCTCCTCTCGTTTGTAAATTTCTTTGTAATGTTCTTATGTCCTAAGAGAGGCCGGCCTTCATCGGTGCTCCTTGGTTTAGTTTGAGTCCCGTTAAAAGGTAGATCTAAAAGTTAGACACAGTGGAGCCTTTAATATCCTTCTGTGCTGACTCAAACACCCCAGTTGGTACTGGAAGTACTACCGGAAATTGTGGTATTATTAGTAATCTTGTTGGTGACTCCTTCAGCTTAATTTAATCCTATCTCCACTCCCCCCCCTCCAAACCGCCCTCTGTCTTGTGACTCAGCTGATCCTGGGCTCCTGGCTGAACATGGTGGGCAGTTTTCTCCGCTACGTCGGTACCCTGAAGTGCCTCCCGCCCGCGGTGTGGGGCTTCCCCCTGCTGATGTGCGGCCAGACCCTGTGCGCCGCGGCCCAGCCGCTGGTCATCTTCTCTCCCACCAAGCTGGCCGCACTCTGGTTCCCCGAGCACCAGAGGGCCACCGCCAACATGATAGCCTCCATGTGTGCGTAAATGAACCCCGTCCTCCTCCCTGACTATTTTCCTGCCACTTTCCCCTCACAGGAGCCATTTGAAGACGTTTGAATAATTCAGCTAAAAAAAACAATACGTTTAAATACGGGTTCATTTTTTTTAAGAGATCGACTGATTTGAGTGGTTTTATATTAATTATCTGATGTCTAATCCAATGCCCCCTTTTTTCCTAAATGAAGATAATCTGAAATTTATATGAAGGTTGCCGGCTGACAGACCCCCAATAGTACTTACATACCCTTTTCGACTTTCAGCAAACCCACTGGGTCTTCTGTTTGCCAATATATTCTCCCCCCTGATTACTGGGAGTGCTGGCAACCTTCCCTTACTGGTAAGCCTTCGAGAAAGACATTTCACTTTGAGTTCTTGATGGCTTTGTACTCTACATGGCAGACTCCACTACGTTGTAATGACCCGTTTTCAGATGTTTTTAAACGTTTCGCAGAATCTAGCTTAATCTGCAGTGAAATGGAAAGAAACCATTCATGCTAAGTTTCTGCGTCTGTTTTCCCCTACAGCTGGGGATTTATGTTATACCAGCGTCTATCGTCTGTCTCCTAGCAACGCTGGGTATCCGCGGGAGTGTACCCCCATCGCCTCCATCAGCCAGTGCAGAGACTTCCAATTCAGAGCCTTTCTTGCAGGGAATTAAACTGGTGAGAAATCTGCAGTTACCTTCACCACATGTCTAGTGGACTTCAGGCACTGTTGTACCAATATTGGTGTTTCTTGTGTTTCAGTACAAAAGCTATAGCTCTGTCTAATTTGTGAAGCGACTGGCCAGTATTCTCACACTAAGCTGCGTTACCAAATATGAAAACAGTCCTTTGAAGCACTATGACATCATCTTTTTAAGCAAGGCCATAGACCCAGGAACACGCCCATCTGTCTAACGATTCGCATGCACAGATTTCCTGCATCACCGTTGGCTTCTCTCCCTGCTCCCTAGCTACTTAGGAACAAGCAGTACATGGTTCTTCTGCTATTTTTTGGGACTGGGATCGGCGTCTTCACCTGCTTCTCATCCCTGTTGGAGCAGATCCTCTGTGTCAGAGGATACACAAACGTGAGCAGCCCCGAACCCTCGCACGGCCTTAGCGAGAAGCACACGCGACTCGAAAGAAACGTACTAGAAATACATTTGGCTCTCTGATTTTTGATATACAGGCAGCTCTCGACTTACGTAAAACCGACTTAAGTAAATCTGTAAATACATTACGAAAGCGCAAAAAGGCAATATACGCCTGTAAGCAATTATTTTCATTTATTTATTGTGTTCCTTTGTACGTATTAGTATGTTTTTGCTGTAAAGTATCTTCAATGATATAGGAAGGTAATTCCGACTTCCGTAAAATTTGACTTGCGTAAAGGTTTGTGGAATGGATTATTTACGTCAGTCGAAATCTGCCTGTAGAAGTATCCGGTTCCAGCTTGTAATTTCTGATACCTGTAGAGAAAAGCACACATGCAAAAAAAAACAAAAAAAAAAGATCTACAGCCTTTATCTGTTAGCATCAACATATATATTAACCAATAAGTATATTACCTATAAAACTCATTAGAGAAGTAGCATAAGAAGAGCAAAATGAGCATAGCTAAATGAAACGGAAACTACTATTTGTTTATTGCTGATAACATGTTTATGGATGCCGACCGCGTTCTTAGCTCTGCATGTCTGTGCTGAGATGCTGGGAAGGTCAGTGACCTGCATGGTGGCCTCTCTGTCTCCCGGGGCAGGACTTTTCTGGGCTTTGTGGGGCTCTCTTCATCGTGTTCGGCATCGTGGGGGCAGCCTTTCTTGGGCTTTACGTCGATCGGACGAAGAAGTTCATGGAAGCCGCTAAGATCAACATGAGCCTGTCGGCGCTGGCCTGTGCCGCCTTGGCAGTGGTGAGCTGGGGTGTCCGGACCCTCGGGATAAGGGGGGGGGGGGGTGACACTGGCACCAGGTTTTCACCTCCTTCACATGCCTCGTTTTGGACGTCCCAATAGGTGTCTCAGATGCGGGACCAGAAAGCCACGGTGGCGGCCATCTGCTCGCTCTTCGGGTTTTTTGGATTCTCCGTGTTCCCGGTCGTGATGGAACTGTCGGTGGAATGTTCCTATCCCGTCGGAGAGGCGTCCTCTGCTGGCCTGATCTTCATATCTGGGTAAGTAGTGCTTGAATATTCCCACAAGTTAAACAAGTGAAATATTTCCCCATGGAACTGATCACGGCAGAAGGAGTTTTGGAGATGGGAAGGACGTGTTCCACCTCACAAGCACGATAGCTGTCTAACTTCTTACATATGGGTTATTACAGCTTACTGAAGTGTATACCTTGGATTGGGTAACACTATTTAATGTGTCAAATTTTTTTTGTGGTATTGAAGCAGACCTGGTCCATGATAGCATTATTTTGCTTTTGCTATCCCTTCTATTTCTTGTACGGCATCAGACAGGTCCAGTCAATTTTATACATCGTGGTGCTTCAGGCGTTGACCCAGAAGTTGGCTGATTCCCCATTTTCTGTGTGTGCTTTGGGGGAAGATGCTGCTTTGAGTTGGAGAGGTGAGGGGAAATAAGCCAGACTGTATTTTCTTTTTCACTTTTATAACACTTCTTGTTTAGACTCCCTACCAAAGCTACTTATAACCAGAAGTGGAAAGATCAGGTCCAGAAAGTACAAATCCAGGACAAGGTTTCGTTTCAACCAGCTGGTTGAGTATGAAGAGTCACAGTGACAGAGTGCTCATCTTGGTTTGCATCTGTGCTTACTGGACCCGAACTTTCCACCTCTGCCTAAAAGTAATATTCCCATTAGAAAATGGCATAACCAAGAATCATGACAGGCAAGACATTTTGGCAAAAAAGCTAAATTCTGAAGAGATCCTCCATACCATGAAATTTTTAGATTTGGGTCATGTGGTCAATTGTGTACAAATATTTGTTGCGTGGCTGCCCGGCAGTGATTTGTTTTCAGTGCATGTTCCCAAATCATCAGAGTAAACTCGTGCTTCCTGTGTCCAAGAACCAGACCAGCTCAATAGTCGCTAAAAATACCTCTGCACATCTGCCAGGAAGATGTCGCTTCTTACAATCAGCAGTTTCTCACAGCAAGAACAGCAGCATTACATGACAAGCTGTTTAATCAGTATTTTCACTTCTCCAGCCCGTTTCTGAGAAGTACTTTCAGGCATGTGCCCATAGCGCCACCAGTAAATGAATACGAAACGCATCCGTTTGGGAATAGGATCCTCTGGAATGGTGTGAAACAGGTTTTAATGCGTAATGGGCTCCTCTCTTCAGATGGTGTGTGTTTTGTCTTTTTCCCAGTGCCGGTGCTGGTGATGGCTGGTTTGTTCTGCATGGCCTCCTGCTTCTTCGTCATCGTATTCCACACAAACTACAGGAGGCTCCGGGCCGAGGAGGTGGCCGCCCAGAAAGCGGGAGAGGAGGAGGACAGTCCGGGGAACGCACAAGGTGCCATGGTGGAAAATGAGGACTGATGGAGGGGAATCCACTCCCCCACCCCCCCCACAAAAAAGAGCATGCTTTAATGTTACTGAAAGTCTGTGGTAGATAACGGTGCCATTAGACTGCAATAACGCAGCTTGGTTTAATCTGGATGTCTAGCGTACTGATACACTTACTTCAGGAACATTGGGTGAGACTTGTGTCAACATTCTGAGATGGATGGATGGATGGACGGACAGATCAATGGATGGGTTCAAACACAAGAAGACGCTGTTGAGGATGTTTTGAATGACTGATGTGTTTTTCAAAAGCTGAGATAGAAATTTGCTACATATTAAACAACGAGTACAACCAGTCTTCTCATGCTTGAAGCTAACAAGCTGTACCAAAGTCTTCCAGAGAGGTTGAAGTTTGTAATTGGAAACAATGATGAAGCACTGAGTTTTCCTTTGAATTCTCACCGAACCCCGGATTATGCGTTATGGCTGAAACTGTGCAGTGAGTTTCCAGATTGTTTGCCGATCATCATTCATTGATGCACGTGTAGAGTCGAGGTGATCTGGTACATTTGGGATTTATGCACTTTATGCGAATTTTGTTACTGGGACATTTGTGTCAGTTTTTAACTTTTATTAATTATTTAATTATGTGACAAACTGAAAAGCATTAGGTACTTGGCATAAGGATAGTTTGGTTTTATACTGGAATGCTCTGGTTTTCCATGTGAATATGCGGAGTCTATGCTGGTTTGGAGTGGGTATCTTGAGGTACAGTTTCCGCAATTATAAACAAATCCATGTGTTTGATTTTGTAACAAGCAGTTGCAGCGCCAGTGCAAATGCACCCTTGGTGCTTGTCACTATAAGTAATAAAATGAAGCCTTGCTGATTTTTAAAGAAACAAGTAGATTTTTCAATGTAACAAGGAGTTTGTTATTACTGCTAATGACTGTTTAACCAAAATGACATTTTTCAAATGGGTATCAGAGGTAAATGGTGCTCAGATTTACAAAATAGTTTTTACATTCCATGTATTAAAATTGTATGCTTAAAATGACACTTTTAGTAACCTGTAATTGCTCTGAAACAGCTGCTGGTTCTTCAGCAAGCAGGCAACAACTAATTTCGAAGCTATGGGAATTTTTTTTTTTTCCCCACATCATTAATTTGACTTTGATCTGACATATAATGCTTTCAAATCTGTAGCAGCCTGTTGGAAAACTGAAGTATGTGTTTGTTAACATGATAACCATGTAAGAACGACCTTACTTATTTAAAAAAAATAAACTTTATATAAGTAAATGTTATTAACAGCGAAACAAACTGTGATGGTTTAATTTATAATCAATCTCCGATCTGTCCATAATTGCAAACATATTTTCAGGATAATGCCATATAGGTTTATCAGGCTCGATATCTTGAATAAGATCCTTGCTGGGGACACACCAGCTATAGAAATTCACCGTGTACGGTTGGTTAATCTTGTTTGTGCTGCCGCCGCTATGCTTTTAATGCAGTGGCGTGTTTGCTTGTTGCAACAGATGTTGGCATCTTTAGTCTTTTACCACGATGTCAGTTCTTCACATGTAATTAGCATGTACCGTTTAATATGATTTATGCACATTTTGATCACAGAAGGCCCTGCGTTCCCTTGGGGGGCCAGGAAGTTGGAGTTACGCTGCAATCTACACACTCCTCAAGCTTAACCCTGAACGTCCGAGAACCCGCCCCCAGATTTCCGGCATTAAGCTATAGAATATCACCAACTGGGAAGAATTTAGAGCAAGAGAAGACCGTCTGAATTATTAGCTCAAAATGTCAATGCATTTCATCCTGAAGGAGTACTCCATTTTTATATATATATATATATATATATATAAATGACACCTGTTGTAATGACACAATGTTGTAAAGAATCCTGTACATTTTTGAACTCACTAACGAATGGAGCAAACATCATAGAGCATGTTCGTTTATTTTAATTAGGGTAAGCTGTTTTCTTTATCAGGTGTGTTTGTTGTCGTTTGAGCTCAGCAGAAGTGAAACTGACATATGCTGTCATTGCATAGCCAGAAACAGGTTTCTGGATGACAGTAAAAAGAGATGTGCATGGGGATGTGGAGTTAAAACCCCAATTCTTCGAGGAATTCATATACATACTGAGGGCCTGTTTAAATCCATATATACGAGAGTAGTGAATTGCAGCTATGTCTGCTCTTAACGTGTAACGCAGGAGTACCTATTGAAATTAATGCATCTTCTGAAACACAAGAACTGTTCTTTAGGGTGGAGCTGGTGAAGGCGCTGATCCCAGCCACAGCTGGAGAATCATCTAGATGCTCCTCAGCAAGTAGAGAGCTGGTGAGGGGCCAGCGGGTGACTTCATTGATATGGATATACCCCGCCCCCCACCCCCGCATGTTCTCAAGTATCACATGGTTGTAAAGCCACATATTCCGGAAACGACTTCATTACTTATTCAATTGCTTAATGTATGTCTCAAATCCCCAACGGCCCAGGTCTATAATCATTTGGTCAACAAACAGGTATACTGTCTGGGCATTAACATGTCAATTTAAGTAACAATGCTAAAGGGAAAGTGTTGCAGTAAGGAAGAGCCACGCTGCAATGTTATCTATTCACTGTGCTCCATTTCTTCATGTCAAAATTTAACCACCAGTGCTAACAAAAGAATGTGATTGCTTTGGGGTCCTTTTATCCTTTTGCTCATACGGTCAGTGGGCGACACTTTTTTCCCCAGAACATCCTGCAGTCACTCTTTCAAAGTGCTCTGAATTCATTTTCAGAAACGCGCTTCCAATGTCACCGGCAGCATGAACATTTTTAATATAGCGCAGACCTCTTATACGCTCCGAGCTCCACAAATGACTTATATAAATGGAAACGACAAACAACACTGAGCGCCGCTGAGCTGTAAGGAGTCCGCACGGCCAAGAGTGATGCTACATAATACATTGAATATTTGCTTCACAGAAACGACGTCAGCGTTAATTTAAAACTGCCGGCTTTTGCGTTAGGAATGCCGTTATATTAACACGACTAAATCCATCGGTTTGTACCATCAGTGGCTCCCAAAATTTTTATTTGCTCCTTTTGTTACGCAAATAGTTGTTGTATTTCGTATGATAAGTGAGGCTGTTTGTGTGCAATGGCTTGATGAGTAATTGCATGAAGTTTAAGTCCGGTGTCAGTCTGAGATCATTTTATATAAGGTTAATCGTTTTGGTCATGAGATTTAACGCTGTGTCAGCTGTAGAGTGCCACAGATACCTTCTGCTTTGGGGGGGGGTGCTGGAGAAAGGCTGATATGCCATCCTTTAAATGCAGTGCGGTGACTGATTAAACGCGCCTTAAATGAGCTGCTCTGGTGGGTCAGCATCCGACAGCTGATGTGTGGGAGGGGAACGGCCCGTCTCTGCTAACACGTCTCTTTCCCCTTTACTGAGCCATGTTATTGTGGAAGGAATGTATTTAATAATAATAATCGATACTTTATTGATCCCCGTGGGGAAATTGTCTTTAATACCTCCCTCAACTTGCTCTTTGTAGAGTTAGTTGTCCACAAATTGTAAAGCGTAAAGGCGTAAGGCCCTACATGATTTCATTATCCCATGAAATTTTTAGAATTACTATTAATCATTAGTCATTAATAATGAATTGTATTAATCACGATATTAGTACAATGATTCTCTGAAAAAATATTTTTAATATGCTTCCTTATCCTCTCATTAACACCATCAGGGACTGTTGGAAAAAGGTACCGTTCAGCTCGACTAATTTATTACTGGACCTGATTCAGGCGCTCTTTATGTACTGTGTGTACACTGCTGAGTCAGGTGTGTGTGGCTCCCCCTGCTGGCAGAGCACTGTGTGTACACTGTGCTGAGTCAAGCGTGTGTGGCTCCCCCTGCTGGCAGACAGCCTGACCCTGTGCTCCGTACCGCTGCTGCTGAGCCCTGAAGCATGAGTGATGCATAAAAGGGTTTTGGGAGGGCAGGGTGATGTCATTGCTTTGGACTGTCAGTCGCCTTAGAACCTCTTTTATCCTCAGGACATGGAAGTAATGTTAAAAAAAATAAAAAATGAAGAGAATGAGAAAATGTTTCCCCACAGTTAGGAATTCACGCTCTACCAGCATCTGTCACGGGTCTCATAGCAATGTGGGGGGGGTGTACCCCCATCACCTCCATCAGCCAATGCAGAGATTTCCAATTCAGAGCCTTTCTTGCAGGGCCTCTAACTGGTTAACTATTGGACTTGTGGCACCGTTGCACCAGTTGAACTGTTTCTCGTGTTTCAGTACAAAACCTATAGCTCTGTGTAATTTGTGAAGCGACTGGCCGGTATTCTCACACGCAGCTGTGCTAACGAATATGAAAACAATCCTTTGCAGCACTATGACATCATCCTTTTCTGCAAGGCCACGGGTGCAGCTGCGCACCCATCGTCTAACGATTCACACGCGCACTGCTTTCCTACAGACCCCTCTCTCATATAGACCACTGGCTTCTGCTCCTGCTCCTTGGTTGCTAAGGAGCATAGAGTTTTTAGCACTGTTATTTAGAGCTATTTAGAAGATGCTTTCTTCCCCCCCAAAGAGACATACAAGTGAGGCAGATAAAACATCACAAGCATACAGTTTGTCCAGGAGTCAACTTAGGTCGACGTGTTACTAGGCTGAGCTTCTAAAGAATGACCAGTAAGAATTAAAAGTTGCCATTAGAAAAAGAGCAATGCAATACATCACAGCACATTGTAAGGAGCTAACAAAAGTGCAATTAAAATCAAAGACACCATGAGGAATAGGTTTGTACTAGACAGGCACATAATACGAATACAACTAGTGTTGCCAAGAGACCTGAACCAAGGGACAGGCAATGAAGGCCGAGCAGGTCAGATGGGTCTTGGGGCAGTTCTGCAAGGCTGAGTGGGATATGGGCAGGTGCCTGGTTCCTCCAACGAGGAACCACTTGGCGAAGCGAACATGAGGTGGCATTGGGTTGCAGACTGAAAATGGAGAGACAGAATGTAGGTGTTTTTTAATGACACTTCATTGATCCCTGTGGGGAAATTCTCTTTTTGCCTACCCCCCCCCCCCTCTCTCTGCGTAGCACACATGTGGGTGAGGGCAAGCTTGGCGTCGAAGGGCAGCCACTGGCAGTGGCGTCCATGGAGCTGGGGGTTAAGGGCCTTGCTCAAGGACCTACAGACATGTGACTAGTCTCCCGAAGCCAGGCTCGAACCTGTGACCTGCCGATCACAGGCAGGTAGGTAATGGCTGGGGTACATCCTGGATCATCCATACATCCAGCTATTTTCCATAACCACTTTTCCTATTTAGGGCTGTGGGGGGGTCTGGAGCCCATCCCAGAGGCTATGGGCACAAGGCAGGGAACAACCCAGGTCTGGGTGCCAACCCATCCTAGATCAAAAATTCCTAAATATTATAAAACATTGTCAAAAGGGTCAATATGAGTCATTTGCCCACTTACGGCAATAGCTAGTTTCTCTCCATTGTTTCTGTCATGGAGCACTCAGTGCGCTGTCCTGGGTCACACGCCGGCCAAACAAAGAGGTTCTTTGAGGCCGCTGGCCAGCGCGTGTTTAAGGAGAGCACTTTACGGAGTTCACAGTAGGGCAGCGACCGTGTCGGCACCGCTGCCACACTCATTTTTTACTTTCCTCTCAAAGCATCCGCGATACAGGGCCGGTGGTGTTGCTATGTGGACTATCTGCCTGCTCTTTTGCCTTTTGTGTATTCTGTGTATCGTCAGCTGTCACAACACTAGCAGTAAAGTTCTGATCCCACCTAACAGGCAAACAGTGGCCCTGGCATATAGGCTATATAATGCCAGGGTCGGGGAAGAAAGACCGACCCACTGGGAAAATTCCCAAATTTCCCGGCAGCCAGTCCACACCAGAGCATAGCAATGGACTGGGCCCATAGCCTAGGAGCTAGGAAGCACTGGGATACCCTGGATGGGATGTCAGTCCATTCCGGGGTACAAACTCTCCCTGAGTCCAGTAACCAGACCAGTTCAATGGCCAACAAAAATCCCTACGGATCAGCAGCAATACATGGCAAGCTGTTCAATGACTATTTTCACTTCTCCATCCCTTTCCTGCATGTGCCCATTGCATAAGCAGTAAACAAACATTTTCAGATGGGAACAGGATCCTTTGGAATGGTGTGAAACAAGCTTCCCCCCCCCCATCCTCTCAGCCGCCACCCTTTGGTCCCTCCCCAGTGCCAGTGCTGGTGATGGCATGGGCAGAATGGAACAAAGATGGCAAGGGGGCACTGAATACAGAATGTTGAGGAACATGACCAGCTAAAGAAGACCATTATGTTGATGATGTCACTGGTCCCTAAATAGGACAAAACAGGCCAATCAGAGGTATACAAATCCACAGAAATGCGAGTGATTGGTCCTTTTGGTTGTACCACTTAGGCCTTATGGTCCATAGGAAAAAGGAAGGGAAAAAAATGTTTGTTGTAATAATGCTGTCGAGCAAAAGGCATTGGGCCTTGTATTAAATCACACTTAATATAGTAACAATACACATTAGCCTAGCATGAGCACACTGAGAACTCCACTTAGATCTGATCTAGTTTTGCAGTTTAATTCGCCGTCCAGCATTTGAACGACTTTCCTCGCTGCCTTTAGAGAGAGATTTCAGCCAAGCTGCTTGCTGGCACGCGGACACGGTGTGGGCACAGTCACATAATTGCTCCGAACAGCGAAATGGGAAATTACTTGTGGAGAATAGCAGTGATGACGGAAGGAAGCAGTGCATCATCCATCAGCAAGCGCTAACAAATCGAGGCCACTGATTGGCCGAAGAGCAGCAATCCAGCAGCACACCCGGCCCCCCCCAAGCTGAAACTGCTACGCTACAGCCATCAAGCTCTAATCAAGCGTAATCGGCTCACAGAGAGCGGGGGGGGGGAACCGCTTCAGCTGTATACTGAACCAGTTAGCTGTGCCAGATTTACAGCGATTGATTTGGAAGCATCGGATTAATTTGATGGTGCCCCTAATTTATCGCTACTAATTAGCGAAAGGGTTAAAGGTCAACCCTAGTTATTGAGTTGGCCAATTCCTCATTAGTACACACATGCTAAATCTACTTGCTGTGAAACCCTGGCAACAAATAAGGTCCAGAACAAATTCTGATTGGCCAGCAAAGGTGTCTTGTAGGAAAGCAGTAATTGGGGTTCGGGAAATAGACTTGCGACATCAAGAACGACCATCACAGAAAGATGGAGAGCGTACATCTTAGGGTAATGTAGGGCCAGGAGGAAGAAGGTTGGTGTCAGGTTCTGTGCAATGTTGCACAAAGGTTGACATTGACAGCTGGCGTGAGCTTGGGCAGCCATGCGACACAACGCCGCGATGGTAACTGCGGTCATCAAAGAGTGAAGTCCAATGCGATGCATAGTGGAGGATGGGAGTATAGAAATGCAATTACTACTAGAGGACATCAGCCTGCTTATGTGTATGTATTCGGGAATGTCATCAGGGTAAAGCGTTAATTTTTCTGTTCTACCTTAATGTCAAACTGCTGCTGGCTTAGAACCACAACACTAAATCTTCATAATGACACGTTTGTTACAGTATTTAGTCTGGCATGCATAGTCTAAAACACTAAGCTTCTCTGCACTGCAGTACAAAAAGAAAACCTGCACTGAATATGTCTGAAAAACACTTCTTAAAGGATGAAAAAGTGCAGCTTTCTGAATGTTAGACATTTTACCTAGAGCTTTCGTTATCTCTAGATGAAAAAGTTTCTCTGTTACAAAAGCATCCGCTCGTACCCTAAATATCTGCATTGCACCTAACAGACCACACATTACACAAGTAAAAGCTTGACAGTATATCTATGCTGTCATTCAGCTTTGAAAACCAAAGGCTCTTAAAAGGAAAACTGCTATTTTTAATATACAAATTGGGGAACATGCTGCAGCTAAACTATACATAAATGTGGAAACATCTCTAGTTTTCCCAGGCATTAAAACCCCACTCTACGTTACATTTTATTTTTAAAATAGCTGTGATTTATTAAAATACAAGAGAAACACCCAAGAAAGTGTTTAAGCTTAAAATTTCACTATGCAATGTCTTAACATGGGAATATGGTATGGCAATGAAAATGTACGAATACTCAATGCCTTGGCCTAGATTGACAGACAATGTGTCAAGCTATCGCCAGGCTATAAAAAAAATCAAACCCAACAGAAAGCATTCTAACCGTGAGAAATCCACCCCTGGCTCAAAAAAAAAGTATTCATAGCAACAAAAATGGGCGATTTTAAGGCTAATTCATAAACCACTTATTCAATTTAGTTACCCAGGGGCGCAAAAAGTCCAGAAAGAAATAGGAGCTGTGTTCAGGATGTCACACTGTGACAGTCAGGGGCATTCTAGCATACAAAAACAAGTACAATTTAGGTTCCCAGTTCACAAGCACTGCAAGAGAAAAGTGGAGAAAGGCGGGGCGACTGCATGACCACACAACAGATGCAGGATCAACTGGACACGAAAGACAACTGCACGAGGCCAGCACATTCACCATATCAGTACCTGGGATTTTATTCAGCCAATCCTGGTGCTCGGACACTTCTGCTACTTAGGTGATAAAACAAATGTGCTTATGCAGTTAAAAGACACCCGGTTCTACATGACAGCGGAACTGTGCGACGGCGTCAGCTTCAGGTCGGGCTCCAAAAAAAGGACGAGAGGCAGAAGCATTATTAAAAATAACAAAAAGAGCTTCCAGTGTTATTTCCCCAGAGTCATAAACGGGATCCACGTTTTAAGGGCTTTGCAAGACAACGTGCTCCGCCACAGACAAACTAACCAACGCAGGCAGAAATGCTTTAGATCGAAATAAAAAAAAAAAAAAAACGAGAACCTGGAATTCGAGAAAAATCAACATCGTCTGCATCCCTACACACAGTTCTCTCTCTCTCTCTTTTTTTTTTTTTTAAATTAAACACACCCCACATAGAAAAGTTCAATGTTTTATAAAATGATGGAGATGCTTGAATCTGGTTTAAATTGGGGAGGGGGTGGGGAAAGAGACAGAAGACATGGAATACAGTTACTGGCAAAGATTCTGCATCAAAATATGCCAATTTAACCACTTCTAATTAAGATGCATGGCACATAAAAATTAAAACTAATCATAAATGTCCAGAGCAGCCATCTTGATGCAAGAAGCTCCATTTTTGTTGTGGTCTGGGCCTCGATTTCACTGGTCTCCCACCCGGCGGAGAGTAGGCCAGGCTGCCCTGCTCACCGACGGTCCGTCACGCCTGCAAGCCGCAAAACTGACGGTACACAGCCAAGATGTGGTGGTCCAGCTCAGCCGTGAAGAGCAGGTCCTCCAGGGTGCCCATGTACTGCTGGATAGTCCCATGATGCTGCGTGGCGGGACAAAACACCAGTCAGGCACATCCTGTCTCAATGTTTAGATGACATGCTCACAAGCGCCCCCTGGTGGGGAGAATGAGGCACAGAATTCTCATGTAACACTAAACCGGGGGTGGGCAATCTTATCCGCAAAGGGCCAGTGTGTATGCAGGTTTTTGGGATAACCTTTAGGTCAGCTGCTCAAACCCAGGTCGTGAGAACTCTTCAGCCAATCAGTCCTCTAATTAGTGACCTAATTAGGGAGTTGCAGCGAAAACCTGCATACGCACCGGCCCTTTGAGGATAAGATTGCCCATCCCTGCTCTAAACGCATGCAATAGGGCAGGGATGGCCAGTCTTGTCAAGAATGGCCATCCCTGCCCTATTGCATGCGTTTAGAGCAGGGATGGGCAATCTTATCCTCAAAGGGCCGGTGCGTATGCAGGTTTTCGCTGCAACTCCCTAATTAGGTCACTAATCACTAAATTGTCACCAGGTCACAAATCACTAAATTGGCCGCCCCTGCAACAGGCTAATGTGGAGACTAGGGTTATGAATACAAAAACAACACACTTCTAATGCTAGATAACTGCTTGAGTGAAATAATGCCTTGGCAGGAACTAAATGTTATGCCAAAGAACCACCGACAATGTAAAATTCTGACAGGTTGAACCTTCATAAGAAATACAGAACCTTACACCAAAAGCAGGAGCACTCAGACATCCAACAAGGGAGACTAAGCTGAATTATACACCGATCCTGGAACGCAGCCATCCCACTGACAAATGGGGGAGGCTATTTTCATCTCCCGTATATCCCTGGGGTATCCAGCCGACCCCGGCTGGGCTCTTTGCCAGCTTGTCGCGGCACGGAGGAGGAGGAGGAGGAGGAGGAGTGCCGGTACCATGAGGAAGATCTGCTGAAGCCTCTCAATGCAGTTCTTGTACCAGGCCGTGTTGAAGTCGGTGCCGGCGGTCTCGCAGTGAGCCAGGTGCTCGGTCAGCATCATGATGAATCGCTGCAGACAGACGAGGCAGGATGACTTCGGGCGACATTTAAATGCCCGACGACGTCAAAACAAGCCCCAATCGCCCTCTGAATCGCGTCTGCACACCACGCTTACGCCAGCTACGGTTCTGGTTCTGCCCTTTTTGCCAATTGTCCTCCTGTGACTGTGACAGGAAGTTTTCCCTCCAAGCCGTTTCACTGTCGTTTGGAAGAACCTGACCTCAACCCCCCCCCCCCTGTGTAGCAGACTGGAGGTGAAGCTCCACTGACCTGGAAAACTACAAGGAAGAGGTTCTTCTGCTCGCTCTGGGCCGACTCCACCTTCTCCTGCAGCCGGTCTATCTGCTCCTCCAGCTGTCCGTCCTCCTCGTCGCTGTTCTTCTCCATGTCCTCCTCATCCCCGCTGTCCTTCTGTAAGGCAGCGAGCGGGCACACGCACACACACACGCACAAACACGCCTTTATAACATGACCCTGGCGGTTAATACCTCCAGCAGGGACTACAGTTATGCTTGTTCTATGGAACAACAGGGAAAACAAGCTAATTTTATGTTTCAGCCCCCCCACCCATTACAGCATCCAAAAAAAAAAAATCACCTGAATTAATACAGATCTAAAAATGACTGAATGGCACCCACCACCCCAAACTTTGGGGACCCTGTGTTTGTGGGGGGGGGGTTGCTCTGGGTAAACGGGCATCTGTAAACTGCCCAGTTTGTGCTCTGAGACAGACTGGCATTCCATCCAAGGTCTACGCTTACATGTTGCCCTCCGCTGGCTCCTGGTCCCCCTTGCAGGGGTGTAACAAATAATTTGAGTGCCCCTGACTAAATGATACCTTTGGCCTCCTTACCGACCTGGGGGGGGGTGCTTGGCAGATTTTCACAGGGCCCCTTCCAGCCCAGGGCCTGAGAAAATATACCCCCCCCCCAGCAATGGCCCTGCTCCCCCAGGATCAATCAATCGTTTGCGCGTTGTATTTCCAAAGCTCTGGATGATGTGCACTTAGATTAAAGTGAAGTAACTGGTAGATGTTTGTGTTGCTGGAAGCTGTGGGTGACATTGCTAGAGTTTTCCAGTATGGCTAAACGCTGATCCTCTTTACCTTCCTGTGCTGCTGCTTCTCCAGCTTCTCCTTGGCTTCTTCCAGCTCCCTCTGGATCTTCTGAACATGCTTGTTCATCTTACGGATGGTGGAATGAAGAATCTCCCACACATAAAACCTGTCACGGTGAAGCCAAGCCAGCTTCAGACCACTGAAAATGCATCACTACACAGGCAGGGGATTAGAGTCCAGGCTCACCTGGTGAAGTCATGGGTCATGTCTTGAGAGAAGATCCAGTTGGCAACAGCTGCACAGTCCACGATCTGGGTCCGGATCATCTTGTCCACAAGCACGGAAATCATCTGTTTAATAAGAGTGTGTGTTACATCCACTGACAACTCAGTACAGCAACTCAACTGAAAAATGTTATGCAAACTATCAAAAAATAAACAAGCAAATAAAAATAGGTTTAGAATTTTGTTGAGGACAAAGGAAAGTTTGATAAGGATGAGGGACTTGTCGATTTCTAGTAACAGGACGTGCTGCCGATGCACAGCGTTAATCTCTGGATTACGGCCCATAATCTCGAGTTTGGCCGCGATCCCACACCAAAGCAGCATCTGACCTGGGGGTGGTTCCTCCACACTTCATACACCACGCGAAGAACGTGCAGCTTCCCCTCGTCGCTGTCTGACAGGGACTTAAGCACTTCGTGAAACCTGGAGGGGCAGTGACGTACTTACTGACGGCCAGTCATGTGATCATATAGGATAGCACCTTGTCATTTCTGAGGGCCAACGAAATGCACCTCAAACAAAGATGACGGCTTTGACATGGGGCTGAGCGACCATGCACATCTCAGGCCTACATTAAAGCCCGAGCAGGAGAAAGCAGGACATGCAAAAAAAAACACACACATGCATGCATGGACACGTGCAAACACAGACACGCAGCAAAGCCTGGGTTCGCTCACTTAGCCAGGGCGCTGAAGGAGTGGCTGAACGACTTTGCAGCCAGGTTGAGTAAGGTCTGCAGGAACACTTCTATCTTCAGGGGGTTGAAGCCATCGCCCTCGTCTGTGAGAGCAAGGCATGAATCAGTGTGGTGAGGTTTAACATTCTCCAAAACCATATGCAAAAGTCCTGAAATAACACCAGTCTATACTCAGTTTCAGCAACGGGGATAATGTGCAAGTCGTAGGAATCCAACAAAAAGCTCAATGTTATACGTATTAAGTCCATTTCCTTAAACTAGACCTCATGGGAGTTTTACTTATGCAAAAATGTTCTGAGGGAAGAAGGAAAAATTATTGGTTCAGAGAGAAAACCAATCACATTGTAGATGAAGTACGTCCAAACAACTAGAAAAGGCAAGACCAACCAATCAGATGTCTTGGTCCCGCCTCCACTAGTTGGTTGGACCTACCTCATCTATAATCTGGTTTCCTTTTCCTTTTTCCTTCTGCCCCCTGAACATTATTGTGCAAGTAACACTCCCACAAGCTAACCTACAGTTTTGCTCATGCCCAGAGTTTTGTTCACATCCTAGTAACTTCTAACACTGGAACTCATCCAATACATGGTAGCAATGACCTGGTAGCTCATCCCAGGTAGTACAGGGCACAAGGCAGGGGATACCCAAGACGGGAGCATGTTCTATCAGAACAACATACTTCTGCTTGAAGAGAATCTTCTGTCACTGTAGCATACAGTTTTAGGTAGTCGTGGTTCCACCCCCCACCAAGTACAACAAGAGCAGCAAAAAGTGGACCAACCATCATCGTCTTCCTGGTTAGGGTTGGGCACGTCCTTCAGAACTGCCAGAATCTCCTCGTTGGAGGCCCGATTCTTGATGGCGTTGGAGACAGTGATGGACATAGGGTAGCCAGGCAGTTGTGCATCTGTGGGCAACAGCACAAGTTCAGCACCAAGAATACTAAAGAACTGGGACATTCTTCCAATCAACACAAAATCTGAGAAGTTAAGATCATATTTTGCTAAGAAAAACAAAACTTACTTTCTTCACCATATTTAAAAGTGAAAATAGGATCGGCTGGGATTAATGGAGAAAAATTGGCCGGGACAATGTCCACTATGCGTTGGTGATAGGAGAGCCTACAAAAGAGAGATGCAGATTCAGTCTGAACAAAACTCTACAGAATAAACACATAAAGCAGGAACCAAAGAACTATTGCTGGAGTTCCACGCAAAAGTGGAGGTCGCGAATGAGCCACGTACCGCATGCATTTTTCCAGAACTTCCTTAACAAATTTCGGCTTTGGTTTGTCATGGTCCACTGCCAAACAATCAACCCTAAAGCAAAGAGAAAATTTGACTGCCTCACTTGTCAAAATGAACATGCTCAACATTATGAAATATAAAAGAACATTATTACATGAAAAAGGTAAACAAGATTAGCTCAACAAAAACTCATGCGTCACACAGGCTGTGAGGTTGCTATATACAGGGATGGATATAACTAAAACGCAAGTACGCATTCACCTTTAAAAGCAATATATGCAATATATTAATTAATGTAACAGTGTGAATGCATACGAATTTTATGTGCATTTTCGCCGATATGACAAGAACTTACCATGCATTTTAACATCTATACCGCAAATGAAGTAGACGTAGCATATAGAGATTAAAATGCAATACGTACGCATCCACGCTGTTACAACAATCGATTGCCGCACGTATCGCTTTTAAAGGTGAATGCGTACCAGTTATGTCAATCCCTGGTTATATACCAGAGGTAGGCAACCCTGATCCTGGAGAGCCAGAATCCAGCAGGTTTTCTATCCTACCTAACCAGTTACTATCTGCCTGGGATCAGGTGTGGTTCATCAGAGACCAGGTAGGACAGAAAACCTGGATACCGGCACTGCAGGATCAGGGTTGCCTACCCTTGTTATATACCCATCCAGAACTTAAAGACTACTTAAAATAACTACTGTACAGAAGCACTAACAAGCCTGTTAGAAGTAGTATAGCAGTTTCAGCTATTACCAGTCATCCCAGCTCCATCTGAACTGAAAGTTGCTCAAGTGGTGTGAAAACCAGGTCACAAATCTGAAAGAAAGAAATCCAAGGTCAAATCCTGGGACAAATAACGTTTTTGGCAAATACACCAACACATCCCATCAATTCATTAAGGGTTTATAAACTGGCCGACACATACCGGTCTATGCAGGTAGTGTTCATGGTGTCCAGTCGCATATACATCATCTCTGTGGCTTGCGCCAGCTGGTTGTCTATGGTTAAGTCAAACCTTTCATGGACAGATACCGAACATTTATTGCAACAAAAAAAAAGCCCCTGGAACCACCAAAAGCTTCCTACCAGCTGGAGAGAACTGGCTCAAGGTTCGAGAGAACTGGCTCAAGGTTCAAATGGGGGAGCCGGGGGAGGATACGACTTGGGGCAGAGAGCCCGGCTGCAGCTTGCACAGCTCGATGAGCAGAGCGGTGTACATGACGTCGATGTGGGGCGGCAACGGCAGCTGGAAGAGCTCGCCGAAGATCACCTGCCCGGGGACGAGAGTGGCAGCTGTCAGCCTCATACATACCATACCTAGGCAACCTGCTCATCGATCCTGCCGTTTTTACAGACTGTTACCAGGCGGGAAGCCAACGTTTATGATGTCGGCTGGGCTTGCGTACCTCTACGATGTGATAGTTGAGGGGAATCTTGCTCTTTCCTGGATAGCTGAGAAGCTGGGCAGCACTGTATCCGGAGAATAAGATGATACAGGTGAGGCATTTCCACCTTGATCTCCATTTAACGTCACCCACTTTATTCAAGACCTTTGTACATCTGCTGCACACTATCGGAAATCAGTATTTCTGCATTGGCCGCTGGCAGCGTTCAGTCTTTAGGTCAATGTGACCACATTGGGGACACACTTCCACAGTATAGGAACTTCTGAAGCAGTAACATGTCTCAGAATATGCAAAGAGCAGCTCCATCTGGGCCTACTAGACACCGGGATGCTCACCACGTCTTCCTCTCCTTCCAGTGGGACTTCATGATGCAGTGGAGGTTCTCCTCAATCACAAACCTCTCTACAGAGTGGCTACCAGGCATCACAGGGCCCTGAAAACAGGCCTCAGGTCAGCTGTTAGGCAAGGACATCTAATTTATTACAAAGGTGTACAGTCTATGGTTGATAAGATACCAGGAGATACCTGGCTGCTTAAGTAGTAATGCACTGAACGCTCAGAATGCACCAAGTTCCATGATAGACAGTCTACATTTTTGCTCCCTCCCAGTTCTCTACTGGGAGCAAAAACTTGGACTGTCTGTGGGTCCCTGTGAACCGGATTGGGAAACACTGGCAATGACATCACCACCTCGTCTTGGGCACTGCGTTACCCAGGGGACTGACCTCAGGGGCATCGGTATAGTCGAACATACGAAAGATGACACGAGGCATGGGGTAGACGGCGCTCTCCGAATGTGGCGGGGGGGTAAAGGGGGGCAGGTTGTGCTGCAGCGCCTCACACAGGACGCTGTCGAAAGCGATGTACGGCCGCAGGATGTGGCGTTCCTGCCAGCGGTCCTTCTTCAGTTTCTGGATCTGAGCCCATAGGCAGTCCAGGTACTGCCATGACAACGAGGGCGACCAATCAACACACACACACAAATAAAACCAATCACAGGAACAGCTTATTCTGCAAAAACCAGAGGGTATAAATATCACATGATTCAAAGGCCACATTATTTCAAGAATTACTACCCAGGGACCAAACACAAAGCAGCAGACTTTATGAGAATAGTGTGATGCTCTAGGCTAGTTACTTCAGTGTACCAGGAGTCAGTGTTATATTTAAATACACACAGAGTGGAGATTCACAGCAGGTTCTAATCTAAAATACCTTAATGAAAACAAGGGGCTAATTCCCCATTTCAGAATTTTTAGGACGTGTCCTACTGATGAAGAAACCGATGCAATATTACTACCCCACAAGGAGCCGATGGGAACATCTGCATTACCTCCTCTTGTGGGTGAGGCTTCTCTGCTGTCCACACCTGCAGCATGGGAACATGGGTCTTCTGTCGTCTCCTGAAATGGCAGCACATGGATCTTACAGGATAAAACAGAAACGGGGGAGCTCAAGGGCTCATGGGAGTTTTCCTTGCACAAAAATGTTCTGAGGGCAGAAGGAAAACATGATTGGTTCAGTGAGAGAACCAGTCAGATTGTAGAGGAGGTGGGTCCAAGACATCTCACTGGATGGTTCCACTTCCTGTAGTTTCAGAGCAGCTCAAGGGTATGAAGAAACCAACCAGGTGGCAAACTAGTCAATGTGAGGGCACATAATGAGTTGACGGTGTGTGGCTCAGTGTGTTAGGACACTGTTCCTGGGTTTGGAAGCAGGCATGTGCAAATCGAGTCTGGGGTTGCCCGAGCACCTGGCCCTTTTGCCTTAATGAATCGAAGTGCCCTCTTTTGATACTGCACATGCCCTTTTTGGATAACTGTTGATTACACAAAATCTCCCCCACCGCAAAAAAGTTACCAAGAAGGACCACCCCCCAGTCAGCAAAAATCACCAGTCGGCCGTCCTGTTTGAGCACCTGCCCCATGAAAAGTCTGTGCATGTCACTGTCGGCAGAGCAATTTCGCCGTTGGGCCTCTGAGCAAAGCCCTTAATCCCCAACTCCTCCAGAGACTGTATGATCCTGCAGTCTTAAAAAAAAATTGTCACATCGGACAAAAGTATCTGCTAAAAAAAAAAATGACATAAAAAGCACGTACTTCAGGTAGCCATCGATCTGGCTGAGCAGGCGATCCATCTCCACGTCCTTTTTCTCGTAGAGCTCCTTGCCCACCCAGGGCAAGGAGGAGAGGACGGCGTACACATACCAGTCCGAGCGTACCTGCGAAGGACAGAGTCACACACTGAAACGCCGCCCTGCCTCACAGACAGCCGTGCCGATGCATACAAATGGCGTTTTTGTGAGAACGTAGGGTGCAGCGCAGCGATCACCTGTGGAATATCATCCTCTTGTATTACGCACACAAAGTTCTCGAACATGGCCACCATCGAGGGGGCGGCGATCACATGACAGTTCACCAAGTCACCCAGAAAACGGACCTGAAAGACAAGGGCCGGGGGGAAATTGTGCCTCAGTCATTCAGAACCATCCTATAAAATGGGGTTACTTTGTGCATTACCAATTATATTCATTTAATAAGCTTAATTCTCTGACCTGATTGTGTAGACTAGACTAATGGAATAACACCAAAAACTTTATAAGGCAACCTATTAACTCAAACTTCTGGGATGGCACAGAGGTTCAGCGGGTAGCAACGTTTCCCTCACACTTCCCTGTGAATGTGTGTGCGAGCCTTGTGAGGGATTGGCATTCTGTACCCAGTGTAGCTCAACCTTATGCCCTGTGATGCCTGAGCCTGGAGCCTAACCAACATAAGCACTTGGAAGGATAAAAAACGAACAATTTTAAACCCTTGCCTGCAGAAACATCGAAATGATTCAGCCTACTTCCACAGTGCTGCGTGGTGTTGGCTTAAAAATAGACTACTGTAATCCAGTAGTTTCTCCTAAAGCATTCAAAGTGTTTACACCCCACAGGGGCCGCTAAATTTAGAACTTAGACAAGTCACAATATGGCGCCGACATTAAATATTAATCGCATCCAGTTGACTTGGCGCACCAGCGAAACGTTCGGGCGTCTTTACCGAACCATCGCGGCACATACCAGATAAACGGCCTCACTGAACATGTTCGACTTCAGGGTCTCCTTCAGCTGCCGTATCATGGCCTCTACGAACTCGCCGCCGAAGTTGTAGTTCCTCGCATTCAGCAGGCCCACCAGTGTGGTGTAAATTGTTAGTTTCTCAGGGAGCTGCCTTGCCCTGTCAACATCAGCGGATAAGATGTGTGAAATGCAATGCAATTATAGTAACGCAGAAATAAGTCTAGTATTGGTTATTATTCCGATGTAAGTGATCAAGAGTTGTTTCCCACTGCCCTTAATGCTATAGTAAAACAGAGACGTAAAAAAAGAAATTGTTATTCATGAAGCATAAGAATTTCAATGTTCCTCCGAACAGATGCGACTCTAACTTGAAACTTGAACTTGAAACGTGAGATAACTTACACAGAACATAAGATGCGCAGTATTTTGTTTTTGTAATTTGGGAGGTCAGCCTCCAGCACACCTGCAAGGCCTTCCAAATTGCTCTCAAGGGAGGATGTACTCTGCAGATCAAAATGTACAGACATCAAAAAACCAAACTTAAAATATCATCTGCACGTATATTTCGTATATATTTTAATCAGATGAACATTTTGCAGCGCGTCACGACAAATTCACATTATAAGTATAACTTTGTATACCGGTTGGTGGGGGCCTGAAAAACGCATACATCGTCCATTATGAATTAGTTTTTCTTGCACAAATAATATAACAATCTTGGTGCAGACACAGAAAATTACCTTTTCTCCCACTCTACATATTAATGATTCGAGGCGATCTTCTATTTCAATGGGCTCAGATGTCCTCCTTCTTTTATGAGATTGACCTCCTAATTAAAAAATAAAACAAATATAACACAGCACGTTCACGTCAAAATTCCACGTTAACTTAATTGTCCAATGGCAAAGAAAGTAAAAGTTTTATTACATATCTAGATTATCTACCTGCAGTACCGTTATAAAAGTTATAAGCCGTTAGCTTTTCCAGGATAACATGCTATTCGCTGTGCAGCAAGTTATTAAAACTGCTAACTGACAGAGAAGACACATAAACGCGACCTTGATAGTTTTAATTCAAAAAAACAGCAAAATAAAAGTGCAGTAATGCCCCCCGCTCAAATGGGCAAGGATGCAGGGACACCGGGTACCATACTCACCGTCGTTATCGTCGCTATGCCGCCTCCGGGACATTATTTTAAAAATAGACTGGATACAACCGTGCTAAAGAAACAGGAATCGTTCGAGTGCTTATATCGCGGGTTAAGGCGCTTAAGTAAACAATCCCGCAACGCTGCACCACGCGATATGAAAGACGCGGGGAAGGAATAAACAAAACACCACAATATGGCGGCAGAATTTAAGGTGATGTCTTCCGGGTCACCGACGCGGAAGACCAGTGCTTCCGGTAGCGCGTGGCACCTTCAAGATAAACGCGGTTCTACAGGTCTGTCATTCCGAGCGCGACATCTGGGAAATTATTGATTTGACTTATGCACGTTACAAGCATGCACATTTAACGTATAGGCTGCTTTTATGAACTGATTCATTGATAAACTCCCCCTTTTCATTTTTGTATGCGCTGTGTAATGATCTGATTCGTCAAGGGAAAGTTGCCGATGAAAAATGCTTGATTATGCTGCGTGTTAGAAGTGTAACCGACATCTGTTGTCGCTTGCCTTATACTATAGATCATTTATCTATTGGGGAGCTTATTTCGCTGTAACCTTTGAAACCGATCATTTCCTGTGTCAGTTTCTTTTAAAGTGTTGATTGAGAAGATAATGGAATTTATTCGTGCATTACGCTAACCAGGGGTGGAACTTGTGATTTTTTTGCTACTAGTCTACTGGGTTAGTTCAGAAAAAAAAGTTGTCTGACATTTTGTACTAGCCAGGCTACTGTTCCGTCTTCTTTACTCCCCTTTGGTCTAAATTATTTGACTGAGTGGAGTGGGCTTAATTTCCAGCTCCGACCCTAACACATAATATGGTTTTCACAATGACACTGGTCCCTTCACTTATTTTCCAGTACGTTTATGGGGTACCTGTACTTCGTAGTTTGGTACCAGTTTAACCAATGATGTTACAGTTTGCTGTAATCGACAACAAATGGTGTCATCGTAGAAGCCACAAATTTTGACTCACATGAAGTAGAACTTGCATGTATGAAGTTGGTTTTCAGACTTTGTCTTGTTTCATTGTCAACCATATGTGTGCCTATTTGCTTTCCTTAGCCTGTTTTTCTTTAACTTAACTTTTATCTTGCAATTAATAATGTCAATGATTGTGAATATTCACAGACGTCAGGAAAATTTCAGTATCGCACTTCTTCTACCCCATAATCATGTCTGGTGATCACATGGAGGAGCAGGGAAGTTTCAGTATGGAGTTGCTCCAGATGGATGTTGAGAACCTTGTCCACTGCCCCCCTAAATATGGCAGGCCTCCTTTGTTGGCTGCTTTACGGAAACATCACACACATGCGAAGAAGAAGGTAGGTTGTGTGCATAGGAAAACAAACATGCTTGCTCAATAGGTCAGGAACTCCAGTGGTTCAGTGCTGCCTGTTTTCTGCTAGGCCTTTGCCATGTTCGTAGCCTCTAAGGAGGCTTCCATTCACAGTGGAGTGGCTCTTGGCCAATGGCAGTGCTGCAGGCGCACCTTCAAGGAGCCAGCTTCCATTCACAGGCACGTCGCTGGGACTCACATCGCTGAAATACTTCAGCATACCAGAGGCATCTTAGGACAGATGCTGAATAGGGATGAAAGTGAAAGTCTTGAACAAAGACCGCTGAGCAAAGAGGAACCTCAGGATGTGTCATGTTGGATCCCACAAAACAGCCACTTTAATGAGGATCAGCTGGTCAAGTATGGGCTTTTCATTTCTGCTGTGAAGCCAATATATTTAATGCACGCATTAATTTGTTACCTGACGGAATATTCAGACACAGTAATACATGCTTTGTGTTGCCGGTTCTGGTCCCCAGCGGCCTGGGTGAAGTTCTTTTGTATTACTGCTACTGCCCTTTGGAGGACCCCCACCTCATTTGTTTGTGGCAAAAAGTGCTGTGTGAAAAATTACACCTAACTGGCAAGGTGAGTAAAAGCCCTTATCAATTGTTGATAATGAACAATCAAAGGATCTAATGGTAGCAGGTGTCAGAGAAATAAAACGTGTTTCTCGTTATTGCTTATTTTTCTTTGTGAGTGAGAACATCACCAAACCCAGAAGGCACTAATGGAGCTTTTCCACTGGCATTCAGGAACCGAGCTGTAAAGACGGACTAGTTATGGCGTAGTTCCAGCTTGCGTAAAGTTGCATTACGAATCCATTCCGTAAATTTTCAAGTTACGAGTTATCGGGAATGCATTAATACATTAGATACAATTTTACAACAAGGCTCCTTGTAACTCATTAATAAAAAGAAAATTGTATTATAACTTGTTTACAATTGTCTATTAATGATTTACAAAGTGTTACAACTTAATTAATAACCAGATTATAAACCATTCATAAACCCTTTATATGGGTAGCCTTATTGTAAAGTGGCGCCATACAGGACGATGTGCGATATTACTAATAATGAATAATATATAGAATATGACTTTTTTTTCTTCAGATAATCCACACATATTGATGCAGAACACCAGTATGTCCCTGCATTTTGACTAGTCAGATGGTGGTTTTGCAAGCAGCTTGGTTTGTTCACTCTTTCAGCCCTAATTGCAAGCAGAGCCTTGTCAGTGCGGATACAGCTCACATGAATTATAATGGAAAACCGCCAGTTTGCGGTACGGCTTAGGTACGGCTCAGATAATTTACAATGGGAAACTGTCATTCCCCAGTATGGCTCGGTTCTTGGTGTCAGTGGAAAAGCATCATAAGTCAGGTTTTTAAGTCTGCTGCTGTGTTTGACTGCAGATTCGCGTGGCAACAGAGGGTATTAATGGAACTGTGGGAGGAACCAAAGTGGCCACAAGGTTATATGTCGAAGCGATGCTTTCTCATCCGATCTTCAAAGTGATGGTGCAGGAGGATTTCAAGGTAAAGATGCTTTAACCTGGAAAACGTTCACATACCATCTTCCCACGCTTGTAGCACAATTAATCGTGGTTGAGGTTGCCTGCAGATTTATCACAGGATGTTTACCAGTGATACTAACCAGCAAGAGAATTTTCTATTAACTAAACGGAAATTTTTAAAGCAGTCGGTATCTGCAAAGTTTCCATGAACAAACAACAAAACGATACTCTTCCCAACAGAGAAGTGAAGGAGGTGCAGAGTGCTTCTCTAACCTGAGGGTAGGGGTTTATAAAGAGATCGTTCCGATGGGGGTGGATCCTGACGTTCTTTCATACAGATTGGCTGGTAAGTTGATTAGCTGCATGCATTTAGTCAGAAATGTGCAAATGAATCCAGATTTATAGCCTACGGCAGGGTCATCGATGGCTGATGCAACAGGATTGCTGTCGATTGCTTTGTTGATATTGCTAAATGCTTTTGATTAATTTCTTAGGCGTCCATTTGGAGCCTGAAGAATTTCACAAAGAAGTTGAAAAGCTTTTGTCAAAAGGAGATTCATGCACAGATACCGTCCTCCTGGACTGCAGAAATTTCTATGAAAGTAAAATTGTGAGTATTAAACATGAGTATTAAACAAATCTTAACTTCTCTTGAGTCTTGTCATTCACTGCAAAGCCTCAGTGTCTTAATGGAATACATTATTTTGGCTTGTTTAAGCCAAGTCTAAGTTGTCATGCAAAGTAATTATAAGTCTAACCATCTGGCCAATTTTTAAATTATTTCTAAGTAATTAAACAGTAAATGTATTGTTTCATTTATTCAGCACATCTCACTGGGAATCGCAGAACCTTCACTATTTGAGATAACAGAAGTTAAGTAATAGAATGTCAATTTTTCACTTCCAGGGACAGTTTAGTAAATGTCTGGCTCCTGACATTCGTAAATTCAGCTATTTCCCAGACTACGTGGATAAAAACCTGGAGCTCTTTCGGGATAAGAAAGTTCTCATGTACTGCACCGGCGGCATTCGCTGCGAGCGTGGGTCCGCGTACCTCCGCTCAAAGGTCAGACTGCTTTCTGTTTTAATTTGGTATTCTGCATTTGCATGATTAGTATTAATTAGCAGAGGAAAAACAGCTGTATTGTGTGTCTTCCCAGGATGTCTGTAAGGAAGTCTATCAACTAAAAGGAGGCATTCATAAATATCTGGAGCAATTTCCTGACGGCTTCTATCGGGGAAAACTGTTTGTGTTTGACGAGCGATATGCAATCGCCTATAATAATGACGTCATCTCAGGTAACTAACTAATACATTTAACTTTTTTTTTCTTTGACATGTATTCAGCAATTCTTTGCAGGTCTTTATTCTGCTTCAGACAGTCCTGCATCTGGTTAGATTCTGGTTGTAATTAAATTGAGAGATTTGTACTGTATACGTTAGTATATCATTGTTGGGAAAGGTTTTTTCTTTATGAATAACTACCAAGAGGTAAGCTTAACTAAGTGCAGAAGTAAACATTTCAGGTCCAGAAAGTAAGAATACAGACCAAGATTTTGTTTCAACCAAGCAGTTGAATATTCTGTGACTCTTTATACTCAACTGGTTGGTTGAAAAAAAAGTTGTGGTCTGGATTTTTACTTTCTGTACATAGAATGTCCATCTCTGACTTAGTGTCACTGACTTAGTTCTCCCTGTGTTACAAGAGTTTCCTCCTTCAGACTTGTACACAAGAAGTGGTTATAGAAAATTAACGGATTGTGCCAAAACTTAATTATTCGTGCTCAGTTAGATAAGTTGTATCTCAGCAGGTAAGAGATCTCTGCCCGTGTCTGAAAGGCCATGGGTTCGAATCCCGTGGCCAGCACAGTAGTCCGATGACCTTTGGGCCCTTGCTTAAGTCCCTTAAGCCCAATTGCACCAGAACTCTGGCAAACCCTTCTCTGTGATCGCTCTGGATAAAATTGTCATCTAAGTAAATAAAATGTTTGTAATGTAGCCTAAACATAATGCAATTGTTAAAACACATGATGAATGTTGTTGAGCTTATTTTAAAAGACACCAGCTGTAAGTGCTCTTAGTAAACAGACATTTTGTTCGCCCTTCTGCACACTTCCGCCCCCTGTTGCAGAATGCCGGTACTGCAGCGCCCCATGGGACCGCTACGAGCTGTGCTCCACGCATTTCTGCTGTCAGCTGCTCCTCTCTTGCACCTCCTGCCGACAGCAGGGCCGCACCTCCTGCTGCCTGACCTGCCAGGCCAAGGGCGAGGTGCCCGACTGCTGTGGCCCCCCCGCCGAGCTGAAGGAGGAGTGTGAATGCACGGCCCTGAGGGCGCGAATTCCCCAGGACGTGGCCTGACATGTCCACCCAGCGAGCCTCCCCATGGCAGCCATCGCAGCAGTGTGCAGACACTGCCACTACACAACTCAAGAGCTCCTGCGAAGATCATGTTGACATGTGACAAGAGTTTAACCATTACAGCTAAGGATAAGAAGACCTTTCTAGAAACTTCTGTCAGCAACAGTGAACTCATTTTATTCTTGGCACCAGACTGTTGTTTGAACCATTTTTAAGGGACAATTATTTTTTTTATGGATTCTTGAAGCCCAATGAGTTCAGACTGAAGTCCAGACCTGTTTGGCCTCTCTGCAGTTGTATATGGCGAAGAATACTTCATGTTGCTTGATGTTCTTTTTGGAGCTGAGGAAAAGGGTATTTGGAGTCGTTTTGACTAACTAATATCTAACCGATGAAATGTTTATTTTAATCTTTTTTATGGTACACAAATCAAATCAGTGTATCAATAATTGAAAACTGTGCTCCTTGAATAACAAATTTTAGTGCTTTTAACAGTGTCACAAAAGCATCTTCTCTGAGAATGAAGTGTAATGAAGTGTGAATGTAATACTTAAAAAAATAAAGATCCTCTGTTGTAATACCTGTGGATTTAACACCTGTATTACAGTTCATATGTAATTCTACAATAATTTACGCCAGTAATTGCTTAATGTATCCTTTTAAAACATTGTTTGTACATATGTATTATATTTTAAGTCCCAGAGGTTACAGTGAATATGTCAACAAAGCAAATACTTATCCTCTGGGACGGCTGGTGCAACGCGTGGAATATACCATTCCATATAATAAGTAAAGGATAAACTTTACATGAATGCGGAGCATAAAAATAGTGACTAAAAATCCCTTTACGCAACCAAAAAGATGCATGAACGAATGTGATAAAGGCATTAGACGAGGTTGGGCTGAGGTCATAATGGTGAATAAATGCGGTTCCCCGCAAGCGGCTCCCATCATCACTGTGTGCGCGCAGGTGGCGCCGCGGCGCCGCTCGCATCCAGCATCCAGCCGCAGAGCATCAGCTAATCCCACGTACTGGGACGGAGGGCGTCCGTCGAGCGCTCCTAACGGCGCTGTTTGCCATTAATAAGAAACAAAGTGATAGAATAATTAATGGTGATTCACCGGTTCACCGCATGAATTTATTTTTTATTAACAAGAAGCGCTGAAAGGAGAGATGTCGGCGAATTTGAACCCCTCCGCCGGGTACAACTTGAACGCGACGCAGAACGGAGGCGCAGCTCCTCCCTGCCAGAACGGTAGGACAGGCCGAGGCCTTTAAAGGCCTAGTTAGCATAATTTAGCCTAGCTCGGTCTGGCCAACCTGGTTACCGCTGAGTCAGAGAAGGAGGGGGCGGTCGTTTCGGTCTAGTTTCTGGCTGTTGCGGTGAGTCATGTGGATAACTATCGGCCCGCCGGTGGCTGCGGCGGAGAGTACTGTGCTGCCCGCCGGTTAGGTTTAGGTACGTTAAGGGACGGGGCTGGCGAAGTGGTGAACCTGTTAGCCGTAGCCTGGGAGCGGCCTCTGTTTACACGGTAACCTACTGGCTAGCTGGCTCAGAAAGCCACTTCTTTGCAGTCGGCTGGACAGGTGTCATAAAAAACCCTAATTTCCCTTCAGATAATTTTCTTCTAGGTAGCACTAGGTATTATGTCTGACCACAGAGACCACCGACTTTATTAAGGCGCACGTTATAACGGGGGTTTCGACTCCAACCCCTAAATCCATTTATCTGGCAGAGGTCAAAATGCAATATACTGCTAAAACAGATGTGCGTGGGGTTTTTGTGAGTTCTGGCTCACATTTAAAACCCGAGTATCTTTTATCTGCCCACTTCATGCCTCTGTGCTTGTTAATTGTTAGCAAGGTAGCAAGTGTCCTCGATTCGCTGCCAGCAGCATCATGGCTGGATTAACGACACCGCCGAACGAATCGGTGCTTTATTTTTTATTTTTATACATGCACTTAACTACCATTATTTAAAAGCTAAATGATGCACTTAATTCAACAGTCTTTGCCTTTCCTTCGTCCGAGATTTCTTAAAGTCACAGGAGCCAAAAACGTTTTGTTTATTTGGACGCATTTTTTCTATCACCATTTCTATGGATTATATATATAGCCGTGCATGGGGTCTTGGTCATCAGGAGGAAGTGCAAAGTGACAGGAATAAGCAAACAGACCTGTCCACTGTCACACTGTCAAGTCATAGACACGTTTTCGTGCTGTTTGTGGTCATAAATGCAGGGCTTGGGTGCAGTGGTGATAGTGTGGGGCAAGTTGAGGAAAGAAGCTTCAAATATTTGTAGATTTTCTGTCCTGCAGTTTGGTGTTTCTGATTGAACCTTGATTATCCGGGTGCTGCATTCTTTGTTTATGATTTTTCTGGCGTCCTTATTAGGATGTGTGTGTGTGTGGGGTGTGCATCTCTTTATTGCTGTGGAATTTTTAACCTGTTTTCAAATGCCATTCATTTGATAGTTTATCTTATAAAGTAAAGCTTTTCCTATGCAGTCTAATCCTGTCTGTGTTGCTGCTTATAAGTGAAAGTACCTTGGTCTCTTTCCAGGCCCTGGACAGACATACCCGTCCGTGTACCATGCCGCAGGGTATTACAGCTCCCATCCGCAGAGCTACCCTCCTGTAATGGGCCAGGGCCCCGCCCCCTCCGGCAAAGCCCCCGTCATGAACAGCCAATACCACCCCAGTTACTACCACAACAGCCACCCCCAGCCAGTTCAGCCCACTGTCAGGGCTGGCCCCCCCGTGTATGATGCAGCCCAAACGCAGGTTTCCCAGTCTTGCAGTGCCACCGGCGCCCCCCCCTCCAGCGCTCACCATGCCCCCCAGCACCCGCCACCATTTAAGCCGCTGACTAGCTACCCGGCCCCCTACTACGCACCATACCCCGCCTCTCAGGGACTTGCAGCCACAGCTGCTTCGTCCGCTCCACTATACCCCGTGGCCTCATACTCCTCAGCACCAGGGGCCAACCAGTATAGCACGGTGCGTTCCTCGCAGGCCCCCCAGGCCCAGCTGTACCAGGGCCCCCCGGGAATTGGAGCCCCTCCCACGGCTGTTTCAACAGCCCCCTGCACCTATGCCAGGCCCCCGAGCGGCCCCCAAGTGGCTGTCAACGGCCAGGTTAGCGCAGGTAAGCCCGACTCGTGCCACAGTACCGTTTCAAAGCAGGTCGTCGATGAGCGTTTTTAGCAGTTGTGGCTTAATCTTTGCACGGACATCTGCATGGTGTCTTCCCCAGAGACATGGCTGTCCGCCATCTCCCGCCTTTCTGGGGATGGTCATTAAAGACATAAGCTTTTACATTATAATCCATGAAAGGAAGGAGATCTTTTTTTTTTCTTGCAAGAACAGCTTGAATGGGTAAAATAATAATTATTGCTTTTCTCCCCAGTTTCGTCTCCTGTTCTTCAGCACTATGACCAGACTCAGCCAGTTGTGACCCAGTCCTACAAAGCCCTCGATGGTGATGGTGCTGGGGAGAGACCACCATCAGGAACTCCTTCCAATTCCGTGCATTCTTCTCCAGGCCATCATCCTGGTAAGACCCTGTTCCAATGAATTGTGTTTTACTCCTCAGATACTCTCTCACAACCTCTTGGTGTAGAAACAGTTCAGCTCCTTTGGTTTTAAGGAAGAAAATCCTGCCCAGTGTAGCTCAGTGGGCTCGTTTGAACTGGTAATTTTGCCAGAGTTATTGTTCTTGTCAGTAATCAATCAAAAATCCTTCACAGAAAAATGTTGCACGCGCCCTATGCTAATTGAAATTTGGATGCGTCAAATCCGTCATGAATGTCAGTAGGTCCATCATGGCCTCATCAGAGGCTGTGCCAGAATATGAGTTCTATAGATGAGTGATGTCATGTCAGTAGAGATGTTGCTAGATCAATCAGCGTAACTTTTTTTTTTTATTTCAATTTTTTTTTTTATCAGATTGTTGCTGTTGGCCGTAATCATGCCTTGCAGTTTGTGAATGTTGACTTTTGGGTAGTGCTCTGCAGTTTTTGCATTTTGCTTCTGTGTTTGGGGAAAATCCCAAACCATGCTTAGAAGTACAGGAATGCAAGTACTTAATCAGTGTCCATATAATTAATTCACACTAGGATTTAAGAGTAGGGTAATGTTGTCTTTGTCAACGAATTCTGCAAAATTTGTATCTTGAGAAATAATTTGCATTGTCCTCAGCACTGGGCAACAAGTCCATGTCCTTAATCCCCGTGATGCCTGCCTCGCTGTCGGCTGTTCTTTCCGTTTGAGAAGCCAAAAGCTATTGTTCTTTTACTTGAAACTTCTTAAAGATGGACGTGTATGATATCAAACACAGACAGCAGTTTCGCTTCTGCCAGATAGCCTTCAGATCAGAAATTTCTTCATGCTATGACACAAGCTATTACGAGCAGGGGAAGGGAAAGATAAAAAGCAAAATGAAAAGCTTCCTCCCTGTCTTTCCTTGATGACAATCAGCCTGTGATTTTGTCTTTGTATTATTTTATATCAAAGGACCACTTTTGTCTTGTAATGTTCGCAAGCCTTTGATTATATGAAACAAATTGATTTTAGTAATGTCACGGGTGTGTTACGCTAAGTAGTTTGCCTAGTACTGTTAGCTACAACAAACATGCTTGTATAGTCATCAGACGATTCATAATATATGAGAACTGTTCCTCCCTTAACATCCCTTAAAGAATGTCCAACACTCAGGGGAGCTGTCATAGAGAAACATGACTGTTACAGCTTCCTGCTCCTGCTGCTCCTCCTGCTCCTGCTTTGCAGTCTCCTGGGCTCCTAGTGGCTTCTCCTTTGATAGGAGAGGATATCGCATGGCTAATTTAGCTTTTCTTATACAGGCTGGACATTCTGACGTCCGAAATCCACAGTCAAGCCAACGCCATATAAGCTGTGCTCAAATGTGAAAGCAATTCCAATGTATGGCTTCAGTGTCTGTGATGTGTGGTCACGTACCTCACATTTTCTTGGGAGTGACATTTTCACCCAGACGAAAGCTGTTTTTGTTTTTCCACCTGTTGGTTCGAACGCATGGAGTGTGGTCTGCACCCTGTGAACGAAAGCGGCACAGATGAGACGGTCTACAAGTCCTGGCCACGCCATGTTTGCCAGTGATATCAGGCTTTGCCAGTGGCTGTGCAGACCATGGCCGGCTGACCTCTGACCTTTGACCCCTGACCCCATCAGCAGCTGACAGTTGTTTGTGCTTCTCCACTCCACAGGCCCGCAATACGGATATGTTGCTAATAGCGGAGGTAGGTCGTCCACAGCCGCCCCCTCGTCATCGAGCTCCGATGATGAGGACGATGAGGAGGAGGAGGATGAGGAAGCAGGTCTGCTATAGCTTTTACTTGCCCACCTCTCCACGCCCTGCCCCCCCGCCTTGCATTGACCATCGCTCTCCCCCAGACCCGTCTCATAGCATCGCTTCCCCCCACCTTCCAGACCCCATCCCATGTGGCCTCTTATCCCCTCCACCCCCCTCAGTCCTTGGTCTCCACACTGTCCGCCTCAGCTTGCCCCATCTTCAACCTCTGGAGAGGAGGAAACGGAGGTGTTCAAAGGAGATACTGTGAAGCAGCGCATTTGTCCCTGCGGAAGGCTTAAGGCACTGGGGATGTCCTGACATCTGGATCATAAGCAACATTCGCCATTTCCCCCGGAAAAACTAACAGTCTTTATCCTAACAGCTCTGTGAGTCTATGAGAGCCAACAAACTCTTCTGTATCTTCCTCTTTTTTTGCGTTCTTATTTAATAAGTGTGAGTGAGTTTTCTGTGGAGGTTTCACAGAAGTTAAACTCGGTCTGGTTTGTTGGCAGAACTTGCATAACCATGTGATCAGTCACTAGTTTTCAGGTTACTGTGCTTCACTTTGCCGTCTTTCTTCTCTTTATTCTTAGCTAGACCTTTGAGTGTTTCCCGTTTTCATTGGCGGTGCCAGACTCCGCCTCTTCTGCAGCCTCTGGTCCCACCGTCTTCCACTGTCCGAGCGTTCGGTCTGAGTGGGCCACCTTTGACTCGTGCTTCTCATTTGGGTCCACGCCCCGTGTCGAGTGATGGCTTATCCCTGTTGCCTCGTCTCTGCCCACCCCCTGTTGGCACAGTTAACAAGTTTTTAAATATAGCCGTCTTGGGCTCCCCTGCCGCGATGGCAAAGAGCAGAAGCTCCAGTGTGGCTCCGTGGGGGGTTGAGCCGCGGCCCGTTACGGTCTCCTGCGAGCCAGGCGTGTAATTGGGTCCCCGTGCTGCACGATACTGCAGACAATCTCCTTCCTGTCTTTACTAAAGCCTTCTGGAAACATGAATGCTGTTTTCTGCAGGCGGAAGCCTATAATCGCATCTCCTCTGAAATAACCCTTTTGCCGGGAGGGGGCACAGCCCCCCAGCCTGGCTGCTGTGTGTGTGTGTGTGTATTTGTGGGTGGGTGTGGCCCATAGCATCACAGGTCCACGTGCCCTCCTGCTGACCTAATCCGGCGACGCACCATCGTCAGAGCTGGAGTTTTAATTATTTGTGGCTTTCGACGGTCTCCCATGCCCCTCCCCCGGTTCTGTTGCTCTTGTAGGATGAGAGATTTCATCTGGGATAATGGAGATCGCCGGGGAATCTGCGTGTGCTATCTCGGTACTGGCTCTTATCTTCCACTGCCACGCTGGGATTAACCCACCCAGATTAAAAAAACCCCTCCCCCGCTTCAAGCCCTGGCGATTGGGGAAGACCTTTTTTTTTCCCCAGATTTCTGAGGCTCTGCTTCTGGAAGCTGGCTTCCGTTCCCATCCGTACACCTGATGCCCCCTCCCTTACTAGCAAGCTTTCTCCTCCTCTCCCCCACCCCCCCAGGGGCTGACAGCTCCACCACAGGCAGCAGCTCCCCCGTCCCCAACAACTACGAGTCCCTGGAGGATGGAAGCTACCCAGGTAAACCCCATCTTGGTCATGTGACCTGTGGAAGGACCCATTGGATGGACAGCTTGGGTAGCTCTCCTGTAAAATGCTCAGTGTATTTTAGTAATGGTAGGATTGGTAGGTTTTATGTGGCTTAGGTTAGGGCAGTTCTGTGTGTGTGAATGTAAGGCTGCTATAGTAAGGGGTGTAGGAACCAGGGGGACATGTACCCTCAATATTTAATTTGACTTCATTCATCCACCCCGCCCCCCAATAAATACATCTTTGCATTTAAATTTTCTTTACCAGAATAAGTAGTAATTTGATCTAATACTCTCTTGTCACAAATACATTTGACATTCAGCAGTCCTGAAATAATGCACAAGTTTTCGAGATGGATCATGGGTGTGTGTGTCGTCGTATGAACAATTCCCGAATACTGGTATTTTCAGTACAGCTGAAATTGTTGCACAAAAACAGATTTTAGTCTTAAGTGCATTTTAAGAAAATGAACGCAGAAATTAGAGAGACTGAGAGCATGAATTAGCCTGGGTAGAATGAATGAATGAATGAATGAATGAATGAATGAATGAATATAGTAATGGCCATATCAGCTCTGTTTAATGTTTTTGATTATTGACTTGAGTTCCAGTAAAATGAAAAAATGCTACAAAATAACATTTAAAAATTGTGTACCAATGCTTTCACTTGTACAGCTTGTAGTGTATTTACACGTGTCAGGTCTGTGCAGTAATATATGCCAGCTTAATGCATGAAACATCAGCACAAGCTGTCTGATAATCTGCTAAAGGAACAAACAACTGGAAGAGCAGAAGACTGCAGAGCAGCTGAATGAGCCGACAGACAGACAGGCTGCCAGAAGAGAGAATGGATCAGTGGAAAGAGCAGGCAGACTAGAAGAGAGAGAGGCTATAGATGAGGTGGAACAGCAGACAGGGAGATGGGAAAAGAGAAGCTGCAGGTCATCTGAACCAGTTGATAGGCAGGAAGAGAGACTGCAGAACACCATGTTAAAAAGGTGTGTGTCAGAAGTGTTTTATATGCAGGAACAAGATTAGGAAAAGATCGAGGCCACAATGTTTTTGTGTTTTAGTGCCTTGGCTGCTGTAGGAGTAATGATATGGAGACAGGGATAAAGACTCCCAAAGATGTAGATCCTGTTTACGCACAGCCGTATTGGATCCATCTGCAGTTTACTTATGCTAAAAGTAGCAAAGTGCTCAGATTTCAAGAAAGCTGGATTAAATCATTACGGTCCAGCTGTACAGCCAGATTTGTGTTTTAATTGTGTGAAAGCGTGTAAAGATAACAAGTCCCCATTCATTTGAAAAGCTGATCCTGCATTTTTTTCTGGACTCGGATACTATAACAAAACAAAACAAAAAAAAGCCATTAAAAGATTTGCATTTCAGGAAAGGAGTGCAGTGCAGTGCCACTTAGTGACAGTTATTGCAAAGTCAGAGCCTGTTATCTACAGCAATGTTTCCCAACCCAGTCCTCAGGGACCCACAAACAGTCCACATTTTTGCTCCCTCACAACTCCCTACTAAGAGCTGAGAGGGAGCAAAAATGTGATCTGTCTGCGAGTCCCCGAGGACCAGAAGCCTGTACTACGAAGCGGGGTTACTGTCTTATCGGGGTAACTTGTCGGATTTAAGGTAGTCTGGGCAAAATGTAAGTGAACGAATATGAAGTCCAATTAAACTGTAGTATCTTAAATCTGACAAGTTTCCCCGATAAGCCAGTAACCCCGCTTTGTAGAACAGGCCACAGGTTGGGAAATTATTTCAGAGACTGCAGAGGTTAGCTGAGGACTTCTGGAAGAGCCCAGGCCTCTGTTTGGTCAAGCAGAAACCTTATTAAGGTTAATTATCATAGTTCATTTTCCTTCCTCAGAGGCAAAAAAGTTTTAACTCTCACTGGAGATGGCTCTTGATTTCGATTGATTATCAAATATATATCAAGTAAATTTTGTTGTCGTTGATTTCAAACATAATGTTGTTACATATTGTCTGTTGTAACAAAATTTCGCCCAGTGATCTCAAGTCATCTTGACACTTATTCATATATGCTGTTTTTAATAAGACTGGAGTTATGTCTCTTCCAGTATCAAGGTCTCTCCTACACCTTTTACTGTAGTCATGTGCAGTATGAGGAGTAAAGTGCATTATTAGAGTCGCCTTCTAAGGCCATAAACAAAAGTTTGTGGGTTTTTGCTAGTAAAATGAAAGTAGGTTAAAGTTTTGCCTCTCCAGTCACTTGCCATCACTGTGTCATCGGTTCTCTCAAATCACTGTCTCCTTCACGAAATTTAGACTCCTCCTCGCTTCCCCCGCCGCCGCCTTCGTCCAAAGCGGTCCCACCTTTCGGCTACAGTTACCCCAACCTCCACCCGGCTTACCAGCAGAAACCAGCCAGCAGAACAGACACCACACCCTCTTACGGTGGATGCAACCCACCTGGATATCAGCCATTTTCGCAGGTATGTTTTGCACGGAACTTTGCGCGGCGAAACCCCTTGAAGTCCCCCTGAGGATTTGTATGCTTTTAGCGGCTCTCCTAACAGAATGTTATCAGAACCAGAAACTCCATCCATCCATCTTGCAGCCACTTATCTGGTACAGATTTGTAGAATAGAGGGAGAACTTCTCCAGCTGAAATTTCAGATCTCTTTCCGTACATTTAAAAAGCAATAACTGAATTTTTAGAAATGAATATGGGTGAAAAGTGTGCCTGTGTGAGAGAGAGACGGCAGCTAATCTTACTTCTCTCCCCCCCCCCCCTTGTTTGCAGCCCTTCCCCAACATGTCCCAGCTGTCCACCGCGCTGGGGGGGCTCAGCGGGGTGCCTGAGCTACAGGTGGAAGGGCTGCGGCCGGTGAACCTGCTGCAGGAGAGGAACATCCTGCCCCCAAGCCCCCTGCCTGACCCCGAGCCCAACCTGAGCGCTGACCTCAGGAAGGTCAACTGCAGCCCAGAGTGAGTGTCTGTGTCTGTGGGCTTGTATGTCCCACGTTGCGGGGACCAAGTGTGCCCACAATGTGACACAACCTTTTTTTTTCTTCTTCTTTTTTTAGCTTGTGGGGACATTTTTCAGGTCAACAAAAACCACAATTTTACAAAAATCAGTGAATGCAATTGGAAAAAAAACAAAAATGGCAAACGTCTTGTTTTCTTGTATGGTTACTTATAGTTAGGGTTAGGGCTGAGTAAAGGTTAGGGATTTTGTAGTTAGGAATATATGAAGTGTGTGTGTGTCAGGTTTGGCTATAGCTGTTAGCATATGCCCAGACTCGGGGCTGCACTGCCTAACTCACATCAGTGCCCCCCCCTCCTCCACGGTTACAGCACGTTTCGATGCACCCTGACCAACATCCCCCAGACCCAGGCCCTATTGAACAAAGCCAAGCTTCCCCTGGGCCTGCTGCTGCACCCTTTCAGAGATCTAACGGTAAGGTGATGCCCCCCCCCTTCCGCGTCAATACTGTGCTGTGCCGCACGGCCATCCTGACGCACCATCTGTCTCCGCGTCTCCGCCAACCCCTCCCCCTCCCCCCGTAGCAGCTGCCGGTCATAACGTCCAACACCATCGTCCGGTGTCGCTCCTGCCGAACCTACATCAACCCATTCGTGACTTTTCTGGACCAGAGGCGCTGGAAATGTAACCTCTGCTACAGAGTCAATGACGGTAGGTGCTTCTGGCTCTGAGACTGCAGGAGAAGGTTCTGCTTTGGTCCATTTGTTGGCTCAAGAGATAATGAACCATAATCTCTTACTGTACAATTACTGTTTGGCTGCACTGGTTATGTTAATATTTGTTGTGTGTTTCTTTTTAGTTCCTGATGAGTTTATGTACAACCCCGTGACCCGTTCCTACGGAGAGCCCCACAAGAGGCCGGAGGTACAGAATTCCACGGTGGAGTTTATCGCCTCCTCGGATTACATGGTGAGGGCTTCCGGCGCAGCCAGCAGGGCGGCGCACTTCACCACGTGGTGCTTTTTCCGACTTGTACCTGACCTCATCACATCTCCAGCACTCAGATCTACCTGTCTGTCTGTAGCTCCGCCCCCCTCAGCCTGCCGTCTACCTGTTTGTGCTGGACGTTTCCCACAATGCAGTGGAGACTGGCTACCTGACCATCTTCTGCCAGTCCTTGCTAGACAACCTGGATAAGTGAGTTTTCAAACAAGAGGCAGCAATTCTGCTCTAATATACTAAATCAGAGCTAAAAGCTAGCAAAGAATAGCATTTTGTTCATATGAAATACTGAAGAATTTCTGATGCCCCTTTGCCTAAGCCCCAAACGCCATTGTGATAGCTCCATGTTTTCTTGAAATGTTATCTTTTGAAGAATAATATGTTTCCGTGTGTTTTAACAATTTTGCCCTGTGGATGAACAGTCCGGATAAGCCTTCAGTTTTATGTAGACCTATATATGGTGTATAATGAATCGCATGGGGTGTCCTGTGTCAGGAATTTGCATTCAGAAGCCTTGTCCACATTGATCTCACCCCACTCCTGGTTTCCCCCTCCAGGTTACCAGGCGATACCCGCACCCGGCTGGGCTTCGTCACCTTCGACAGCACCATCCACTTCTACAACCTGCAGGAGGGTCTGTCGCAGCCGCAGATGCTGGTCGTCTCTGACATTGAAGGTGAAAGCTCGCTCTTCTGCTGCCGTTAACTTTGTTATGGGGCTCACCTGCCCCTCTTTATTTCTGTTAGATTTGCAGATAATTGACAAAAAAATAACAAAATAGTGATTGCAGGGTTAGTTTATAAACTGCCAACAAAATTTTCTGCATTTAAAGGCACAGTTAGTACAGTATTTAAATGGATTCGATATTGCGGGCAATAATTTCCTAGCTGATGCCGTATTTCCCATCAAGTGCTGTCGTTTTAATCATTTATAGAGCTGGTTAGTTTAATGCATAATCACCTACACTAGGGCTCTTGGGTGGGATTGGACCCAACATCCTTCAGGGTGTGAATCCATCACCTTCACTGGTTCATTCCATCTTTTTCCAGATATCTTCCTCCCCACCCCCGACAGCCTGCTGGTTAACCTGAAGGAGAGCAGAGAGGTAAGAGGTGTCCCTGTGATGTGATGGGTGCGGCTCTGTGGAGACCTCGCTCGCCGCTTTCTGATCAGGCGTCCCTGTTTGCAGCTGGTAAAAGATCTCCTGAGCTCCCTGCCCGGAATGTTCACCCACACCAGGGAGACCCACAGCGCCCTGGGCCCCGCCCTGCAGGCCGCTTACAAGCTCATGTCCCCCACGGGCGGCCGCGTCTCCGTATTCCAGACCCAGCTGCCCACCCAGGGGGCTGGCCTTCTGCAGTCCCGGGAGGACCCCAACCTGAGGTCCAGCACCAAGGTACCCCCCCCCCTTCCAGCTCCATCACTTGGGAAAACGGAAGCTTGCTTTCTGCGTTTCATGACGTCGACCTTCTCGCCATCGCAGGGAGTTCAGCACCTAGGCCCTGCAACGGACTTCTACAAGAAACTGGCACTGGACTGCTCCGGCCAGCAGATAGCTGTGGACCTGTTCCTGCTCACCTCCCAGTACTCAGATTTGGCCTCGTTAGGTGAGGAACGACCAGAAATTGCTGCTGCTTCTGCACTATGCCTTTAGGCACATGACCACACGTGCAGCACATGACCACACGTGCAGCACATGACCACACGTGCAGCACATGACCACACTCTCCAACTGAGAAATGGACCATGATTTCTACTCCATTTAAGTAGCTAGTTAATGACGATACTGGTGGGCAGAGTTGGGTAATTCAGGTCCAGAAGGTAAAAGTTCAGACTGGGATTTTGTTTCAACCAACCAGCATGAAGAGTCACAGTCACGGTACTCAACTGGCTGGTTGAAACAAAATCCCAGTCTGGACTTTTACCTTCTGGACCTGAATTTCCCAACTCTGCTGGTGGGTGAGTTTTAGTTTTTGTTTAAACACAGTAAAAGGAATGCAGTTGGTAGAATGACCAAAATCTGGGTAACCTGGGTAGTTTCAGTTTAAAGCACAAGGATAGTTTATATTACGTTGTGTGCCGGTGAATCATATTGGTGCCTGTTGTGCTAATGATGTTAGCGCCTGTTGTGTAACACGGTCAGGTTGGTGTGTGTGGTTCCAGACCCGCAGAGAGATGTATGTGTCTGAAATTCCCTGAGGTCGACCCGTTCCTTTCCAGCTTGTGTGGCCAAATATTCAGCTGGAAGCATCTATTACTACCCGTCGTTCCACCACGTCCACAACCTGCCGCAGCTGGAGAAGTTCCAGAAGGACCTGCAGAGATACCTGACCAGAAAGATCGGCTTCGAGGCAGTCATGCGGATACGCTGTACTAAAGGTCGGTCAGGCTCACTTCTGTGTGTTTTTAACCAGAGCAGTGCTGGATTCATGACAAACCAGGGCCGACGTGATTTGAAAGTGGTCTTTTCATGTGTGTGTCTTCAAGCCCTCTGTCTCCCTAACATTTAACCCCTACTTCTTCACCAGGCTTGTCAATCCACACGTTCCACGGGAATTTCTTCGTCCGTTCCACGGACCTGCTGTCCCTGGCTAACGTCAACCCCGACTCTGGCTTTGCTGTGCAGATGTCCATCGACGAGAGCCTGGCCGACACGTCGCTCACCTGCTTCCAGGCCGCGCTCCTCTATACCTCCAGCAAAGGTCAGGCTCCGCCTGATAAATGGTGCCATTTTTGGGGGCAGGGCTGACACCTCCCCACTGATGACCTCTCACCTTTTAACCATGTGTTCTCTATTGGTTCTCTATCATGTTCTGGCGTGCCCCCTGCCAGAATGTTTTCATTCCAACCCTACCTTAATCAAGTCCTTAATAGGCTAATAATGAATGTGGCAGGTTGCAAGCACTTTTGGTTGGAATGGAAACATTCAGGCAGGATTGAGAACTAATGTGCTGAGGCACAGAGCCAATGAAATGCAATTAGCATCTAACCAGGTGCAATAAAATATATACAAATGCAGTAGGTTATATTTGAATAATGGCTCTCTGTCAAATATGCACCTGTCTGTCTCCGCAGGGAAGCGCCGGATCCGCGTGCACACGCTCTGTCTGCCCGTCGTGAGCCAGCTGAGCGACGTGTTCGCGGGCGCCGATATTCAGGCCGTCACTTGCCTTCTAGCTAACATGGGTGAGTGTGCCGGTCTCCCGGACCTCAGAATGCTTCGCTGTCTCATGCACGGTTTTCCTCTGCAGTGCCCTATAAAGGACCCTTCTGAAGATGACTAACCGCGTGTTTGTAACTAGGGGTGGGCAGTACACCGGTGCCAGTCAGGTGTGATTCTGCACCGTGATATGAATTTGCGCTATACCGTTAACACCACGATAAGTCAACAGCTTAATTATAAAAAATAAAGCATTTTATTTTCTTTGAAGCTTCAGTTGTCATCCGAATACTTGTCCTTATACAGTCTATGTAACTGGTTTATCTGCGTTGTGTAAATTTTCAGAATTTTTCTAACTTAAAATTAGCGCTACCAAAAGCCAATAGTTTGCAAACCCTACAGAGTATTTACCATGTAATATAACTGTTACATACTTTTAAATGTGTGTGCAGACTTGTCTCGATTTGAAAATCTAACGGCAAGCAGCAGACCAACCCTGCGTTTTATTGTAAATGAACTGTAAAATACACTGTTTTCGGCTGAAGCGGCTTGTCGTTCCGTTTGCTTTGACCGCGGTAAAGAGAGTTTGCAGTTAGCAATTCGGGGGTCCGTTTAAATAAACTCAACAGTGCAGTGGGATACACTAGTAAACAGTGTTTTTGTTACTCGTGATGTGTGAATTCAGATGACGTCATCCCCCACCCCAAAATCTGCCGATATTATACTTTGCCTTTTTATTATCTAACGTGAATAATAAAAGACTTCACCATATAAACAGGTCCAACCAGGCTCATTCTCACCAGTCTGATTTGTGAATTTTCATGTATCAGACATTTCCAAAGTCATTTTTTATATCTTCTCGAAATAAGACCACCCATACCCAACAGTAATAACAATTAAAGTACTTAATATATTATTTTAAAAAAAAAACATTTAATTTACAAAAGACATGCTACTCTGCCCAAAAATATATTAATTTAATATATAAAAGTAAAAAAATTTACTGTCGCTGTACAAAAAGTGAAAAATACCACAATAATTTTTAGGTCATGTCGCCCACCCCTATTTGTAACCATGTAGCTTGGTTGGAAATTCATGCTCACCCACTCACCTCATGCATGTAATTTAGACAAAGGGCAAGTACAAAATCTCAACACTAGCCTACTACCTTGTAATAAATAAATAAATTAATTACATTTTTTCGTTGAACAAGCCCAGTGTACTAGTAGTGAAAATTAAGTCCCACCCATGCTTGCAGCTGATTTAACATTGATGTAGCGTAAAAATGGGTGTGTCTCCACGTGTGGCCTCTCTCCGTACAGCCATCGACCGATCAGTGTCCTCCAGCCTGTCGGATGCCAGGGATGCCCTGGTCAATGCTGTCGTGGACTCCCTGTCTGCGTACCGCAACACCTCGAACCTGCAGCCCGCAGGCCTGGTGGCCCCTAGCGCCTTGCGGCTCTTCCCCTTATACGTGCTGGCGCTGCTCAAACAGGTGAGGCTTCAGGGAGCCACCTAGTGGACAAAGGTGGTGCTGTAGAAATGGTTAATCGTGAACTGGGCGTAGTACTGAAGGGAGGATTTGTTTGGAATGACGAGTCGAGTTTTGCTTGGCATATATCACGGTTGCTCTAGCCTCCCATTGGAAAGCCGCACTCTCCAGACGTATCGATTTTTCCTCCATCCAAGAATCACCACATTCAGCTTTATTTTCCCGACTCAGCTCAGTGGACGTCACTTTATCAAACTGCACAGTGCAGAGAAAGAATATATTTTTTCCCCTTTCATGACAAGGTAACCAGGAAGAATGTGTTCCGCAAGTACGGTAACATTCCTGTCTTTAAATAACTGCTGCCGCTGTCCCCCCCCCACCCCCAGAAAGCCCTGCGCACGGGCACCAGCACCCGCCTGGACGACCGCGTCTTCGCCATGTGTGAGTTCAAGAGCCAGCCGTTACAGCACGTAATGCGCTTAGTGCATCCCAACCTGTACCGTGTGGACAACCTGTCTGACCAGGTGGGTGCCCCCCAGTGGCCGGCGGGGTGCAGCGCAGCATGCCCACATTCCGCTCTGATTGAGATTCAGCTGGCAGTGTGCTTTTTCCTACTAAACAGACTCAGACTAGGATCCAGGTTTTACAATATTAGTTTGTATAAGACATTCCGCTGATGTTTTAATAGATCATCTGCTCTGTACCCCGAGGCTGTCCTTCACCTTTTTTTAAAAAAAAGAGAAAAAATTACATAATCTCTTTATTTTGTATTTATATTTGCTTTCCTCTCCCCATCCTGCAGGGGGCGCTCCACCTAAATGACCGCATGGTCCCCCAGCCGCAGCTCCTCCAACTCACAGCCGAGAAGCTGACCAGGGAGGGCGCCTTCCTGATGGACTGTGGCAGCGTGAGTGTGGGCCGCCCCCCTCCCGGTGCCCCCGTGTGTGGCTGTGTCGCCGCTTACTCCTCTCTTCTCCCTTCCAGCTGCTGTACCTGTGGGTAGGAAAGTCCTGCAGTGAGCCTTTCATAAGAGACGTCCTTGGCTGCCCGGACCACTCGTCCATCCCACAGAATATGGTGTGACTGGAGCCTTAGCGCTCGCATATACTTATAACTCATAATTCCATTATGACCTTTCAAGCTGTTTTATTTCTGCTTGAAATTTTAATGCATAATTATTATTTTTTTGTCTTGACTACAGTTATATTGGAGCTTGCAGGTTGTGAATTGTCGTAGGTTTATCTGCGTGTTCAATTTTATAGTGTTTTTATCTTTGTGTAACACTGGGTTTGTCCAGAGATACAGTGTCCTTAAGTCATAATAGATTGAGGTATAAGTGGGTAAAATGAAGTTGGTGTCCGTTAAATAGCTAAATGACAGGCATAATAATGTGATTAAATTTTCCTGCGTCCCCAGTCCCAGATCCCGGAGCTGGACAACCCTTCTTCAGCGAGGATGAGGACGTTCCTCAGCTGGCTGCAGGAGTCACGCTCCTTTTGGCCGGTTCTTCATGTCGTGAAGTAAGTCGGCTGGGAGGAAGTGAATGTTCTGTGTTCCGTGAGTGCGGATGCATGACAGTCATCCAGGTGCAGCACCCAGTTTCTGACACTTTGATGTCATTTTTCCTCATTCCCCAAAAGATCTTCCCTGATCTCCTGCCAGATGATGTTGTGATGATAGGTTTCCATGTTATGAATGGCATAGAAGCCCTCGTATAAACAGTACCCAGCATGTTTAAGCTGATTATATTCTTATAGAAAAACAACATTTAGTACTGTTAGTCTAAACAGAATTTGATAGCCTGCCTTCTGTTAGTGTGTTTGAATTGGACTGATGATGTAAATCGGCCTCTTGTCCTGTCAGGGATGACGCTTCCGCCAAGACCAGCTTCTTCCAGCACTTGGTGGAGGACCGGACGGAGTCGGCGTTCTCCTACTACGAGTTTCTCCTCCACATCCAGCAGCAGATGTCCAAGTAGGAGGCCCCGGGCACACCGGAGCCCTCGGCGCAAAGCTAGTAGTATCTTCACAGCACCTGCTGCGTGACCCATGTTTAGCGGGAGACCTCCACTTGACTTTCCTAGGGTAGAACTACAGAAGCGACAGCAGCCCGCCCCTTCCTTCCAGTCCACCAATCGGTGATGGTGAGCGTGTGGACGGGGGGAGGGGGGAAGAGATGACGACGGCCGGGATTGGCCGTGGGTCTTGCACCGTCCTGTGGCGCCTCTGAGTGCGCGTTAAGGAGCTTGTTTACCGGTTTCCTGTCTGTGCTGCTGACCAGTCCCCTCTTGCTGGACCCGTGGGCCTGTGCTGGAGCGAGAGGAGCGAGGAAGCGGAGCATCGCGTCACGTCATGCCGAGAAGGGCCCCCCCCTCCCCCCCCGCATGATGTCACGCTTCACCACGTTTGTGACCCGTGTTCCCTTCCATCTTTTGATTTTTTATTTTTTTTTTTTTTATTATTATTTTGTTTTTGGATATACATCATTGAACAAACATCCGACATCTCTATGCTAACCAAGACACTCCACCCATCCCATCAGATGCCGCTCAAGAGTGGTGGTGCCCCCTTTCTGCCCAGAGAAACTCCTCCTCCCCGCCCCGCCCGCGTGCTCGGGCGAAACTAGTTCATGTAACATCCCTCTTTTTTGGGCAGTATGAGCAGTTTTTCCCCACTTTGTAATTCTCTTTTGTGTAAGATTATTTATGATCTGCTTATTAAATAAAACAAAGGTATTTTGCTTGATCCTGGTTATTTGATAAGTCTATATTTCTGATGCTGAACAGTGGTTGTGGAGGGGGGCTGACCTCCAGCTCTAGTGATGCTTGCATACAGTGCAAGGTAAAGAATATTTTATAATAATTGGTACATTATTGATCCCTGCTGGCAAATTCTCTTTACGCCTCTCCCAATTTGCTCTCTATGGGTGACAGCAAGCTGGCCCCCAAAGGGCGGCCATCTGTTGTGGCGGTAAGAGCCTTGCTCAAGGACCCACAGATGTGCTGAGGCCAGGCTTGAACCGGCGGCTCTCTAATCACAACTACGGAGCCTCACGTTGCTGTTACTTAAAGGGGCCACTAGATGGCTCCCTCTGTAGCAAGAGTAGCATAGAGCAGTAGCTTTAGAATAATGAAAGTTTTATTGTGACAACGGTGGCTGGGCGCGTTCAGACTCCTATCAGGGTGGTCAAGTTGTGTCTCGGATGAGTAGGAGAGGACTTATCGGGAGGGGAGCATATCGCACGAAGGAAACGGGGAGAGGATTCTACACGCAAAAGAATGTTTAACTGGGCTTCTGCTCAATACTCATTGGCTGTGCTGCAGTTATTGTAACAGATGCTCAGCCTTTAGCAGACAGGCCGTGTCTTCGATCCGATAGATATCTACAAGTATCGCGTGTTCGGAAATGTAACATAAGCACGTGCATCTACTAGACTGCTTTGTAGCAGTCGCATTCAAATCCAGGCTCGTGTCTTGTATTCTGTTTTGACGTGACGCACATTGTTCCATTTCCACTTCTCGTACTTCATCCCCAGAAGCGACACACCCTGACCGCGAAGTAACCGAAGCGAAACGTAGCTTCGATGTAGGTCCCTTATCCTCCCATTGTTTGAAGATAAAGAAATTGAAGACTGTAAAGACACACGCACCTTAGATTATTAATCACTCATCCTCCCATTGTTTGTCGACCTTATTTAAAGGTCTCTTTTTACGGACCACCGCTGCCCTGAAGCTGAATACAAGTGCGGACTGCTCCCTTCTGGGGGGGAGGGGGGGGAATACATCGACCAGTGGGTGTAAAATGCTGTGTTTACAAATATATATGTAACTTGTAAACACATTTCGACCCGCAATGGATTGACTAATACAGAATGCTATAGATGAATGATCGAAATTTGTAAAAGATTTTAAGTTAAACCAAGAGCTCATTTAAGATTTTTTTTTTTTAATCAAGATTTTTATTTTGTCCATATGTTAATTTGTTAAATTTGATGCATGAAATTGTTTAGAATAAAAATGACATTTTCGCCTTGGATAAAATGATCTTGCATGGGGGGGGGATAAGGCAACCCTTGAAGCAGAGTGTGCCTGAGATGTTTATTCGGATTAAAAATTATGGGCCCTGCCTCAAGTATTGATGGTTTTGAAGGGGGGCTGCATTTTGGGTTCCGTCTGCACCAGAAACGACTTTAGCCGCAGTTTTGGCCCGGTGGAACGCATCTCGGGTTACTGAGGGCTGAGTCTGCTTCTCTCTAGGAAAATGGTTCCTCTACAGCTCAAACACTGATGCCTCTGTCTTTATCCATCTTCTTGTAAGCCACATGCATTTACGGTACGCTACACTGATAACGGCTACACTTGCAGAATGACGTTATCAGGTGGCAAATCTACAACGCGGAGTCTGCTTTTAAAAATGCATGAGAACGTGGCTGCTTTCTTTATGAAAAGTCACTGAAAGGAGTTTATGTAATTATGTAATGTTGGTGAAAATCAGCTGTACTTGACTGACCGTGTAACATCCTTGGCTCATCACAGGTAAGCAGCACATCTGTAAATAATGATCTCATGCCTGTGGAAATCCCAGCGTTGTTGACATGTAGCATGCTATGAATGTCATCAGCTCTTAATAGTCGATTGATGTGTATTGCACACAAAGTTCGATATATTGTTAGGAGGTTATTAACATGACATTGAATATGGCGTAATTTTTGCCACAATCATTAGGCAAGTGCCAGGAGTGAAAACACATTTGTTTTGCTCTTCATGCATTACAGTGACAGCCAAACGAATATGAGGCGAAATCGCTCGCAGATGTTTCTCCTCCGCAGAGCGTACTCTGGAAAGCACGAACACGCACGGCGAATCAATAGGGCGTTACGCAGCGTGGCCCCTGGCCCCCGTCAACGCCAAGCGCTTGGCTGCCCGTCAGTGGGGCGTGGGGGGGGGGGGGGGATTTCATGGGGCTTGCCACGGCACACAAACGCTCTACTGTGTGCGCTCCACCTCAAGCGCGAGTCCCCTTCGTAGCCCCTACCCCCCTCCCCGAATCGCATTCAGTATTTTCACTGACATGATGTCATGTCCTCTCCTCTCCTGCCCTGTGACTGCATTTTCCCGTCTTCTAATCCCAGATCTTCCCCCATCCCTGCAAAAACTTCCAGAAAGCATTACATATAATGAGAGCCCACTGCTGTCTTATGCGTTCTCTGTCAAAGTGTTTCACCCCGTAGAGCGAGCCTGGGCCACTATCTTCTGCCAAGTCTCTAAAAAAGTTACTCTGCCAAACTTTCTGGTCTCATGATCTCCCTATATATTAATTGTTTAAAAAAAGGAATCTGAGTTTTGATTAAAAAATCATTAAAACCATACACAGCTTCCTTCTTTTCAGACAATAAAACAGCATGCCGGTTATTGGCCCAGAAACAGGGTTCGTTAATGAATTAATACTGTGAGGTGGGCGGGGCTTCTGTTTGTTGGCAGCCAGCTTCCTGGCATCATTTTTACATCTGCTGTCTGTTAAAGAGCTCACTCTCTTTTTGAGCATCGCGGCCTGTTTACTCGGCACTGAACAAAGGTTGGGAGGTCTGGGGTCAATGCATTCTTGCAGCACCTATTCTTACAGAACATCCTGCTTTTGAAGATGTTCATTCAGGATCCTGAGGGGAAGAGGGAAAAAACAGCTGTTTATTCAGCTTTGTGGTGCCTTGACTGGGGCGGGGAGACCCTCACGGAAAGAGAAAATGACTTAATTTCGACGAGCAGCTTTTAAGCTCTGAAACTGAACCATATGCAGGTCGTCTTCAGCGGGGATTCTGTAGTTAAGCTGGCAGCGACTTTTAACATTGAGGATCATTATATCTGTCACGGGACGATGCCAATTCAGAGGGGAAGCAGAGTTAATTCAGGGTCAATAAATCCGAGTGCACTTGGTAAAAATTGAGTTTGGTTCTGAATGTTCTGAAAGTTTCTTTGAGTTTTAATGCCAAAACAATATACCGTCTGAGTTAAAAGTGGCCTGAATGTAAACATCACTAAACTGCAGCCGTTTTGTCCACTTTAACTCTCACGTGGAATCCGTCGTAAGGCAGCCATGAAGTAATTAGACTTTTCCTGTTTAACGTGCTGTAAACCATGACTGTGATTCCGAATGATTATGCCTGTACTTGGATCACATACCTTTGCCCATGATAAAAAATGCAGAAATCCATGGTTGAAAAATCTTTGGGGAAACTCTTTTGGAAAAGGCACTATATTATATAAACTGAGGTGAATTAGGGTGACATGATGGGTCAGACCTCCTACGTCGGGGGGTTTGAATCCTGCCTTTTCTCTGCATGTGGAGTTTTCACGTTTTCCCATAGATGTTTCTTCCCGAAATTGCCCTTATGTGCATGTGTATGCCCTGCACTGGACTGGCATCCTGTCCGAGGTTCACCCCAATCTGCAGTCTTGTGTTGTGCAGGATAGGCTCCAGGTCAGATTTAAGATTTAACCCCATGAATACAGCTCCCCCCCTGCCCAGTTCCTCAGGTACCCACCGATGTGCCTATAGGAAGCAGCTTTCTGTCACGATGTAAATTGAGCTTCTAACACTCATTATCTGCTGTGCTCTCTTGAGGGTAGAGGAGTGGGCGGGGCTCGCTCCCCATCGCTTCGCCGCGGCACCCGGCCGCCGCCGCCGCCCATGGAGCCTCGTTTCTGCTCCAGGGGCCGCACGAGTTTCATTCCCGCCGCCAGATGTTTTCGCTTCCTGCGGCCAGGGCTTATATAACATCCATGTGATCGACTGCCCCCTAAAATATTCCAACTCGCCCATTACTACATACATCAGATAGCAGATGTGGTGAAAGCGAAATAGGAAATCATTAGGGGTTATTATCTACTGCCCCCAAGTGGTTGTGGAGATTCAAAACATGGACGTTTTAACGTAGCTAGTTATTTATAGTGTTCCGCTGTCCTCAAATTATGCTCTAACGATTCAATAACATGTATCTCTTTTCCCAAATGCATACACCAAGTCATTGTAATTTCAAATTTAAATTTATTTTAACTTTAACTTTAGATTGATTGCATGTGATATATAAAAATAGAAGAGCATGTTACTTTTGGAGACAGACCTCCAGACAGACTTGCTGTGATGTCCTTGTATAAATGTTGAGTTTGCCAGATTCCAGTTGCTGCTTTAGCAGTCTGGTGCTGCAGCACTGCACCAACATTGTCTCTGACTACGTCAGTATCGCAATAACACTAAAATCCTCCGTATTCAGTCTTTTAACAGGTTTCATTAAATTAGTTTATGAGAATATCTTATTATTTACTTATCGATAATCATTCGCAATCATAACAAAACATAAAATACATCAATGGCCTATAATATAATGTATCGACACAAATAATAACGCCACAGTATCAGGCACGTTTACTTTGTAAGGTTCCCCACCCTTGGGAGCAAGGACGTAACTTTGGGATGAACCTTGCGGGGATTGAGGTCTCCACCCATTTAGGGAGGGTCCAGGGGCATGAATTTGGCAGTTTTTAATTAGTGGGGGGGTTACAAACCCACATCCTGTATTTTACGCCCGTCCATGGAAGTTCAATTATTCTCCATGATGTTTTCCATGATATCGACCAATACTTTGGAGAGCTGTCAAACTGATCCTCCAAGAGGACGAGCTCTCAAGAACATATGGTACCGGTGTTCAAAACACAAATAAGCTGTTTATTATATATTTCGTTTATTGATAAAATTACATAATCTTACTAGACCTTCTCCTTTACAATCGCCGCTAGAGATACAGATGTGGAACCCGTGTCAAACATCGTTTTTTCTTTTTTCCTAAAGCGTGCATGAATTCGTATTTTCCACCGAAAATCCAGCCGGTTTCTAACAGAGACAGATGGAGGACTCGGAGTCTGTTAGTCAAAAACACAGAAACACACATCGACATAAACCAACTGTTATTGACGGAGACTTGAGTCCCACCTTCCACACTTTTAATTGTTGCCTTTGTGATTTTCATGAAACCATGTAGGCTACTGTACATACATATACGTGTGAACATCCAACAGGTGCAGCGAGACGCTATAAACAGCATGCGTTGTTGCTGACGTCACTTGGTAAACATTGCAATATTCAAAGCTCCTGTAACGCGACTGCTGCTTCTCAGAAAGACGCAAATGCGAACGGATTACCTTCAGCTGCGGTACACGATTCTCACTTTATCCAGTAATTTATCCTGTGTGCATTTGCCTGTGCCTTCGGAAATGTTTAATTCAATGAAGTGAAGGTTAAATTAAGTTGACATTTGAAGGGGGAGGTCCTGTTAAAGTTGCTTGCGCTTTTCGCGCATTTCTCACGGACGTCTGTCTCTATAAAGCGCATTTGCTCATTTCTGCTCTTATTTCCTAGCTAACACGGGCGTCGTCTGTGCAAGATCGACTACAGAGGAAGAATAATAAAAGGAGTTCGCCTTAATCTGGGGGGAAATGGCTTCGCATAGGAGTAACGGGGACGGCGTAGAAAGCATGCAGCTGGCGGAGGATCAGATCAAAGCGCTGGAGGAGAATTTCATGAAAGTCAGCAAGCATCCGGACGGGACGACGCTCATGTTGATCGCGGCCGAGTGCGGACTGTCCGAGGAGGAGGCGGCAGTGAGTGTCACCGTCTCTTAAGGAAATGTGCACGACGTAAATGTGCACGACTTGAATGTGTTTTTCCAGAATATGTTTTTGGAAGGCGCATACATACAGCACATGTACTTATTTATACCAATTTCACAGCGCTATAATCAGATATTTATTCAGATTTGAAATAGACATTGGGGCTAGCCCAATCATTAATTCGTTAATAATTAATGCGTTGACGTGTCCAATGCAATGGGTACACAAAAAAGTTTTATTTGCCAGTTAAACAATCGAGTCCTAAATTGACTTTTAATATTGCATAATTATGAACAGAATAGCGATCGTGTTTAGTTAACTGATAAAGAGAAAATGGGAATATCTTAAATTTGTTGGCTGTAAGCGCACTTCGGCAGTAACATAGATCTGGGTACAAATCGTTATAGCTTGATGTTGTTTCTTGATATTGCTTGTTGTGCACCGAAGCTTTTCAAACACACAGCTGATTTCCACGGTTTGAAGTTATTGTTTTTGGGGGTGTGGCAGTTATAGCTATTGTCTCCTATATTGGGGCTTTTTTTCCTTTGGATATATTGACTAATCAGATTCAGTGTATGGCCAACAGTCCAAACGTAATTTCCCCTGGGTAATGGTCCTGCTGGTGGACCAATGTTTGAGTGCCGTATTTAGAAATGTTTGGTGGATTTTTGAGTTTGCTGTGGAAATAATGGCAGGTACTACACCTACTTTGGAACTAGTCTCCCATGACTAACCGGTTCCACCTGCTCTTGTCAACCAAACAAACAAAAGGAAAGATGGTTATGTCAGCTATGTGTACACAGCGAGGCCAGGGCAGCTGATGTAGCGGCAAGCCCCCCCCCCCCGGAAACACCACCTGGCTCCGCGACCATCGTTGTCCTCATTAATAATAATAATAATAATAATAATAATAATAATAATAATAATAATAATATTGTTGTTGTTGTTATTATCATTGTTTACATATGTAGGCTACATTTTTGTTCGCTGGGAACAGGCGAAACAAACAAGCACATTATGTTGACGGAATCAACGCGCGTGCGTTGGGTGGTCGAGTCGCTTCAATTAGTGAAAAGCTTAAGTTAACTACAGAAAAAATAATCAAGCTTGTGGAAGCCGGACAGTCTAAACAAGAAATCACAGTGCGTCACATATTTGTACAATGTAACTGTAAAGCATTGCATATTAACTAACAAAGATTTTCAGAGTTGTCTTTTGCTGCTTAATGCTGGCAGGTTAGTGCAAGTAATGTTTGGAGGACATTAAGGTCAAATGCATCTGGCCCCCCTGACAGAAGAACTGACCCCAGTCTGGCCGCCCCAGTTGAAATGTTCTAGAACCCCGTTTAAGACATCCACAATAGGCTGCTTTTTCCACCTCCCCCGAAATGCTGCCCCAAAGCCACAATTAGGCCTATGTTGAAAACTGCGGGAGTCTTAGCTTTTCGCGTCGCCGATGCTGTTTTTCCAGTAACCGGCTCGGCCCCGAGCCTCCTGAGGTCAGACCCAGTAACTGTCACTGCCATCAAAACAGGCCAAACGAGGCACCTCCTGACTGCTGTCCTGCCGCCAGTGATGAGCTCCAACCTCCATGGGGAGTCTCCGCTTTCCGCCGTTTATTTTATTTCCAGCGTCTTCACAGGCGGCCAACATATGCGCATTCTTGTCATTCTACAAGGATATTTTCAAAAATGTAATGCTGTCAATCAAATGATGACGAAACCGCGGTAGTAGCTCAGCTGTTAAATCGTATGCTTCCTTTAAATGATTGAATAGTACAGGAATTTATTTTTTTGTGATTCATTTAGTGAGTATGGGATAAGACAAATGATTATAATGCGGGCGGATTTGTTTTGATGGTCTCTTTTGCATTGTGTCTGCTTTGCTAGTTTCGTTACTATTGGGATACCACTATAACTCTATAATTGCGTTCACACTCTTTCGTTTATGCCTTTACGCTGGCGATGACGTCATTGTATACGCCAAAATTTGGAATGAAGTAATTTAATACTCACAAGCAATTGCAGTTAGTCATTAAAAATACGATTATTGTGTGAGTTTATGCATTTATTTATCTGGCGGTTAAGGTGCCAGCCGAACCATGTGTAAACACTATGATAGTTGGAAGAAATATTTATCTCCAGTTACAGATAATAGTCTCAAAGAACAATATATTTATAAGCAAATTTATTCTCTGGAATATGCCTTTGGTTTTGTGACTCACATCATCATACAGTTTATAACTTGTTGTCGCAAAATTAGACAGTGATTTGATTATCCTGTGGCGCTACACATGGCTTTCCACTAATAAGCACCATTTACATATTTACATATTCATCTTGGTGTTTTATTATGATGACAATGTATTCTTACATGCAGCCAATTAACGGAATTGTTTTTTGTGTTTGGCTGGATCATTGTTGTCCATCCATCCATCGCTAATCTCTTCCCCTCCCATCTTCTAGAGGTGGTTCCGGCTTCGCAACGCGCAGTGGAGACAGTCCGAGGGCCTCCCCGCCGAACAGGGCTCCGTCAAAGACTGAGGCAGAAGAGGGTCATCGCCCAAAGTGCCCCCCCCCCGTTCCCGAAAAACACCCCTCCATCCCACCTCCCTCCCAACCTTCCCTGAGCTGTACTTTGCTGATTGTGAGCTGTATGTAAGTCTTATTTTTATAGATATAACCAGCATATTTCCATAGGTATATATACATCACTAATTATATGTATGTAAATGTAATTTATTTTATGTCATGCAAGGCCCTCGGCATGTAGTGTTTGCAATAAGAAGCATGGAACTTTGTTCAGAGATGATCTGATGGGATCAGAGTACATTCTGACCCAAGGCCACTGCACTTATCCTGATTATGAAGATCCCTGACTGGAATTGTCTGCTGAAGGGTTACAGGTTCCCAGTCCAAGCCTTAAGGATTGGAGGATTCTGGGAATGCAAATCTTGACGTAGATAAATAAATAAATACATATACAAGAGATCCCACTGTTAGCGTGTTTGTCTGAAAGTGCTACCGGCTGCTGCAAATCCTGAGGGGTGGAGGGCAGAGATCTGGGCTGGGTGAGTGCGGCAGAGAGGAAGAGGCCATGCGCCACAATCAGTGGCATTGTTCCACGATAACGATCTACATTTATTTTCGTTTGGACGCTTTAATCCAAAGTGATGTACAAGTCAGACAAGTAGCACATTGCAAATATGCATGCTGTCAAGGAGTCGACTAGGCATGAGTGCAGCTATGCTGAGCATCCAAGATATGCCCAGCTACAAGGGTAAGCAGTACTGGAAGAGTTGCACAAAGTAACCAATGATTGACTGCACCTGGTTCCATAGATCAGATGGACAGCTGTATAAATACTTCCTGATGTGACAGCATGCCTGTGGCAGAATTGCATTTAGGGAAATGGTCTTGACTCGAGAGTTGTCGTGTGGTAAGGTACGTAACTTTGTAATAAATGGGAGAAAGTCAACGTCAGCTTTGGCACGAGGAAGAAAACCAGCAGCCAATCAGTAAAATGTAAAGGCTTCCTGTCCCCAGCCTGCGAGAAGAAACCAGAGCAGGAATGTTTGGACTGGACACACGTCTGCTGGTCAGACCTAATTGTCATGTGGTGATGATAAGGTCTGTCGTTTATTAAAACCAAGGCTGTTTCTGGCACTTTTACCAAAGCTGTATGAAGATTATTGATATGAACAAAGACTGAGGTTGCATTTCTGTTTGTCTGGGTTTAGCCGTGGGCTGTCTGTAAAAAGGCGTTTTCACCGGCTGAAGAGTTTTTAAAAACAGGGGTTAGGGTTTGAACAGGCCCTGGCATTGTACTTTGCACGCTCATGCACAATTAGTCACTAAGAAAGCGGTAAGAAGTATGGCGTGGAGACCATTAGGGTGGTCTAGACCAAGCACCCACTCCACCAGGCTTGTGGTAATCCGCCGTGTTTCACCACTGAGATACTACAGCCTTTGGGACGACGTGCTGTTATGGAATCTGCTTGTTGACCGGAGTTTTCTGGTCTACAAATGATCTGAATTACTGAGTTGGTGCCCTTATAGCCAGACTTCTTCTCCTCCTACCCTTATGAGTCACAACCTTACATAGTATATTTCCTTCCATTAGTTGCCATGCCTTCCTAATATTCTGTTTAAATACAACCATTTTTATGACTGCAGTTCAAAAGGTGACGTTATCTCATGGAAAATGCTGATGTCCTCTGGCACAATGCAGATGGTCTTATCACAATTGGTCACATTTGGGTGGAATTATTTCCAAGTGATGTCACAGAGCAAGACCTGACAACGAGATGTCATTTGCGGCAAGACTTTGCATGTGGATTTGAATACGGCAGGAAGTTTGAACAAATTTGCCAGCCAGACTGGAACAATGGAACAGGAGACGCACTGCTCAGTGTTTAGACTTGAAGGCTATAAAACAGGGACAGAGTTCACATTTTGTGCCTTTACATAATACAAAGGGGTGATTATGGAAAATGCATAGCACTATAGAAAATGCATAGCCTTGCACAAAAGGGATATTCCCAAAGGGAAATATCCACACATAAAGAATGAAAAGTGAGAATTCCCACTGAAAGATATTTTAAAGCCCCTTACCGGCCAACAATGTCTAAAAGACTAGTTTTGACGTTCAATAAGCTACATGTTAAAAGATCACATGACAAACTTTACTGTCAATGGTAAAAGCCCCTGTCATGTGACATCAGTCTGCATTTTGAACCCTTTGTTACATGATTTATATTCTTAAATCCACTTTGCCCTGTTTTCATCTCCATATATCCTCTGAATTTAGAAAATTGGCCAAAGGTTGCTTTAAAATTAAAACCAGAAAACAGGAAATAACTGTTGTGGACTAAGTTCAAACCCACTGATCCTTAAAAAAAAATCACAGATCCTAAAGCTTTCATTTAAAAGAACAGAACCCTAATTCTCAGTTTATATTGCTGGAATGGTACATGACTCATTCTAAAGGTAAATGCTGTATTTTACTGAGATTTTGCGAGTCACGGTGCATGTCCAATAGCTGATAATCCTGTAGAGAATCAACAGTGTTTGACAGGACTCACACAGGTAATTTTATGCTTGTCTCTGAGTCACAATTCACATTCAACTACATGTGCAGATTTATTTTCCATCCTGCCTGTACATGTACATAAAAGCTATTAAAGAGAATTGGGCAGTAGGGAGAGACATAGAAACAGTATTTTTCTATCTGCAGACGTGATTAAGTAACTATGGTTTCAGTGTTACCAAAGATCACAAGCATCAAAACACGCAGAAGCGTGACATACTGGGCAAAGGTCCAATGGTTTGAAAAGTGACTTCAGGATCATCACGATAACATAATATACAAGATACAAGATAATGTAGTTTTATTATAAAAGTTTAAATAAGGTTCAGTACTCCTTCATAATGTATTCATTAAATATATAATCATAAAACATTCATAAGCATCATGCATGTATACCTTAACATCCTAACATCCGTTAACAGCTGTTATATACATTAATAACAAACATTATATAATAATAACAAACATTATAATTGTATAATCATGTAATGTTTGTTATTATTGTATAATAAAGCTATTAAGGGATGTTAGGATGTTAATGTGTACTACATTATGAAGGTGCACTGAATGTTCTATGAATGCATAACGAAAGCATTATGAAAGTGCACTTAATGTAAAGCGTTACCAAATAAGGTATCCAATATTTTCATCCCAATCTAAGATGAGTATAAAAAAGGACAGTTTTGACATTTAAAATTTTTATTTTATATATATATCCATCCATCCATCCATCCATCCATCCGTTAATCCTGGTCGAGGGGAGCTTACTATTATTTTACTGGCTTCATATTTTAAACTGACAGGCATCCCATGATACCTTTGATGCAGGCAGCCCTGCACAGCCGCTCCTGGTGAGACGCCACACACTGCAGGTTAAGCATATCAAACCCATCCTTCCTTTTGAAATCCACATTTTAAGACAGGAGCCTGGGGCAAATAATCAAAAGCAGGTGACTCTAATAGCACTTTAGAAATGTGTTTTCAGTCAGCACTGCTTTACTGTTCGCTTTTACTAAGTCGGGTGAAAGCTTTTAATTCTCGCCCTTAAGGCTCTTGCCACAGACTCATGGTTTTTCTATTTTCATTTCAGTTGGGTTATAAGTAAAACATATTTCATTGAAAAACTGCTAAATAAAATCCATCGTCCGACCGCTTATACAGTATGGGGCTGCGTGGTAAATAAAATACATTAAATGAAAAACATGTTTTTCTTTTTACAGTTTTTAACTGAAGTAAAGATTTATCCTGGAGCTTAACACTCAGACGGCTGCATAATCAACTGTAATTGGAAACAAAATAACACAAAATAACAGAAAAGCAGATATAACAGAGATACTGGCTGGTTAAGTGACATTTCCGCAAACACGCACCAACAACACACACACACACACACTCACACACAGGTTTTTAATTATACCTTTGTGGGGACTCTCCATTCATCTCTATGGACATAACTCTAATCCCAACATGACGACCTTAACCCTTAACCAGCCCTAACCTTAACCATAAGTAACCAAACGAAATGCAAGACTTCTGGCATTTTTATTTTTTTGATTACATTCCCTAGATTTTTAAAAATAAATTTAGTTTCCTTGTGGGGACAGAAAACATGTCCCCACAAGGTCAAAATAACAGGTTTTTATCAAATTCTGGGGCCATTTGGTCCCCACAGTATAATATACACATAATTCACACTCTTGCCCCCCTAATCAACAGGAATGAGGTTCCGTCCAAGTGTTCTGGAGCGTGGCTAGGTGAGACACCTCATTCCCACTGCCACAGCAGAGATGGGACATGCATCAAAGGCCTTGTTTTTAACTACTCCCTTTAACACAATTGAGCATGAAAAAAACTTGAGTGAAAATGGTTTAAAAAATTTTTATTCTGACAGAAAAGATGACTTGACGTCTTATGTTTTTTGAGAAACCCTTTATTCTAGAACAAGGTTCCCCGATCCAGTCCTGGAGGGTCGATCTGTGACACAATTTGCAGATTCCCCTGCATAAATACACCTTATTTGGTTGGCAATCGCCAGGTTTAGTAGGTGTGTTTGAGCAGGGAAAACTGCAAACCGTGTCACAGACTGACCCTCCAGGACTGGATCGGGGAACCTTGTTCTAGATTGAGTCTGGGTTTTGGTTGCTTTCATACCTCTCCATGCTTCCCTATATTACCACAAGCCTTTACTTTCCATGCAGAAAATCCCAAACTGGATCTTGCATCGGCATGCAGTCTCTCCCGACGTCTTTTGGTGCAGCGAGGCTTTTAATCCGGGGTGTAGCCTTGGCTCTTATGGCACTTTCTGAAATCTATGGGAAACGTGGGACTTTTCAGGTCCAAAAGGCACCAGTGAAGTCAAAGCCATTCACACCGCAAGACCATGGCTAGGCTCTTTATAAAACCTTCGTTTGCTGTGTTTCAGCTGGGACTGCTAAGTTCTCAGTAGTAAAATGGCTTTTAACACGTTGTTTATAAGAACAGCAAGTATAAGTTGAATGGAAACGGCAAATGCTGATTTTCCCATAATCCCTGCCCCATAACGGTCTGATATTGCTTGTGACAACATGCAAATCTGACACCACAGTACTTAGAAAGATAACATCAAGTGACATTGGCCTAGAGCTGTGTGACAGCTGGGCACCAGCCTTGGAAAACAAAATGGCCAAGACTTGACAGATGACCCCTTACTGGTCTGATGGTCTCCTCCGGTCGTCCCAGCTCAAAGAACATGTTGGTCTTCCTCATCTTGGGCAGCGCTAACTGCTCCAGCCTTGGGCTGGTCTGCGCTCTTCTTGCAGTGCATGAGATGTAGGTCTCCGCCGACTATGAGACAGAGGCAACGGGAGGGGAACGTGGGCGGAGTCAGCGAGAAAAGCACATGGCTAAGTCCCTGAAGTCACATGATGAGCTCGATGTCACATTATCTCAGAGCGCCAGGAGCTTCTACACCTGTGGACGCGTCTGATAACTGTGTCACTTTGCTTTTAAAGCTAGTTAAGTGTTATTTTTACCTACTAGTGTCATACTTGTCCATGGTTTCTGTTTAATATTTCATTTGTTTGGCTAAAATGTACTTAAAGGGGCATATTAATGAATCTATGTAACAAAATGCTTTTTTTCTCATTGTAAACTGTTGTTTTTCTGATCATAATGTCAACACCTGACACAAACATTGCTGTCCTGTTTCAAAGCATATAACATACCAGGCTAAGTGGCTGAAAGATGGATGGATGTATGAAGGGATGAATATAATGTGTAAATGATGGTTAAATGCTCAATAAGAATTGTATGAGATGACTTAGGGGCTTTTTTATGGGAACACAATACTATTGTGTATTTAGCAGTTTCGTTCCAATCAAAAAACAGTGCAAAATTACCCAACAGTGGTGTAACTAATCTTAATTAGTTGTGCACAATAACCCTGGGATTCTGTATGCACCAATAGGATCTCTCTCACCTGTATCCCATATTGCACCAATAGGATCTCTCTCGCCTGTATCCCATAATGCACCAATAGGATCTCTCTCACCTATATCCCATGTTGCACCAATAGGAGCTCTCTCACCTATACCCCATAATGCACCTATAGGAGCTCTCTCACCTGTATCCCATGTTGCACCAATAGATGCTCTCTCACCTGTATCCCATGTTGCACCAATAGGAGCTCTCTCACCTGTATCCCATGTTGTACCAATAGGAGCTCTCTCACCTCCCTGTCGCCCTTGAAGTCCAGGTGCATTACTTTGGGCTTAGCCAGCTGCAGGAGGCGCAGTGAGAGCTCAGCAGCTCCAGTGCTCTGAAATCTGGCCCAGTCCCACTGGCACCATGATACCCTGGGGAGTCCAACACGTATACTGTCAAGGGAGATCTGGTCCGGAAATGGATTTGGACAAAGGGCCCGCCCTATTACAGCACGATTTTCAAAGCACTTCCCCTCAGGACGCAAGACGTTAAACAAACCAGTCAGCTTTACACAAGACTTTTCTGTTTCCCCATTGTCTACTTGTGTCCCGACCCAAAATATGTCAAAAAAAGGAAAAAAAAGGTTTAAAAGAAAACATCTGGCACATTCCGTGTCCCCCCAGGAGTTCAGTGCTGGACAATGGAGCCTATTGTCTTGGCAGAAACTCCTTATTCCCACAGCTTAGCCCAAAAATAGAAACGGAAGCAGATGTAAAACCAACAGCTCAACAGAGACGTTACCGGTCATCTTGGGGGACATGGGGGCTGCTGTGGGCTCGTGTGCCCGGAGTCCCTACCCGTCTTCCTGGAAGTCCTGGGGCCTGGTTCTGGGGGCCGACAGCCGGGCAAGGTGCTCATACCGGGCCGCCCTGGTCGGGGGTTTTAAGTCTTTCCTGGGGGAGAAGCTCTGCTTTCGTTGCCTGCACAAGAACGGGGGGGCTTCAGATTTCTGTCCGGAACCAGGGAGCTACAGAGTTTCAGTAGAGACTAAGAAAACTGAAGCCATACTGAATAATTCTGAATAATTCAGCAAACCTGCCGAGGGTCAGTGCAATTTCACAGACACCCTGTTTATTTCGAAATATTGTATCTTGTATCCATGTAGTTTAACTGCTTCTACACCGTGAGATAAGAAAGCACAACAATGTTTATTTTACACACATACATATATATATATATATATATATATATATATATATATATATATATATAAAGGCAGTATCCTTGGCACTCAAGTGACCACAACATTATTACAGAATCTTGGGTCTGAAAAACTTTAGTTAACCTTATAATTAAGCTTTGACAAAGATTTTATTTTTAAAAAATACTTTATTTAAGGAATGGTTGATGCAGTAGGATTCAGATACTAGCTCTATTCTTTCCCCAGACATTCATGCATCATTGACTTAAGCCACAATTCGCTTCTTCATTATCTTGTTTCAATTTTATGGTTTGGTCAGGAGCAGCTGAACAATGAAGAATGTCTAAATGTGAACAGGGGGCTTAGTGGTCTAACCAATAGCCATTTCGGTAAAGGATGCCTAAATGTCAGTGGAAAACAAACAATCTGCAAAATGAGAATAGTCACAATGCACATAATAATCACACAATCCCAGTTGTTATTCCTTCACTTGTGCAGTTCCTGACTCTTTTGTTTTTCTCTCTCCCTGTGGTTCCTTGCAAACTCGATTACACAGGCTTCCTCATAAGCATCACATTTAATTTGCAAGTTATTACTTTTTTGTGTTATTACGTTATGCCCCATCAGATTCCAGGCCTCAGCGCATTCTGCGAGTTCTGCAGAAGAATGGAGTCAGATGACCGTATCTGGCCATGAGCTGTGCTGAGAAAATCCCTGCAGGTCCCCTGAATAAATTTTATTAAATTTAAGTTACCAAAACAATGGCAGAAGGTGCCTCCCATGTTCAAATGTCACCCATGTCACAGCATTGCTACAACACAGTGTGTGTCCACTGTTAAAATAACTGGCAGTTTGTTCATTGGAGACAGGGAGACAGTTGTAAAGTGGATTAAAAAAAACCATTAAATCTGATATGGGGATATACAGGTACACAAATGGTGGCAAGTAAAATACAGGACGTGAACATCGTTACATTCTGCCCCTCCACTAATATGCGTGGTCCTGCTTAAGCATTCATTGGATGCCTATCACCAGTATTTTCCTCTTCTCTGAACTGTCATCTGAACAGGCAAAATGTTCCCATAAAATCGGCTTCATTAAAATGAACTGAAAGCAGAACCAGTTACCTCCACTGTTCTTCACATGCAGAAAGGTCTTTTTTTGGTGTAGCCAGATAGCAGACTCTCTCTGTAGGCACTGCAGTCAGAGCCGAGTGGGACAGCGGTCTTATTGGTTCCTGATCACCCCACCTTAGATACCTGCTAAACCAGCAGAGATGAAAGACTGCTGTACTTCTGAACACCCAAACAATGAACGGCAAAAAAATGCTCTATATCAATGTTTCCCAGTCCGGTCCGCTAGGACGCACAGCCGGTCCACATTTTTGCTCCCGCCGAGCTCCCTGTCAGACAGTCCACATTTTTGCTCCCTCCCAGTGGGTCCCCAAGGATCGAGTTGGGAAACACTGCTTTATATAAAAGATGGTGTTGAATAAGGATAGGAATTGACCGCAGACACACCAGGGAGCTGTAACAGGGAGTGTTTTGTAATCCTTTGGCCGGGAGAGCTGAAGGATCCTGTAAAGAGACACATCCCAGTCATTACGCACTTGCAGCTTACCGCTATTGTCAGTGCAGCGCTCAGGCTTGCAACAGCGGCCATGCAATTCCGATTCAAAACTATCATATTAGAGCTAAACTTCACAATAAGTCAGAGATAAACACAATGCTGCAGGGAAAACAAATAAAAATGTATTCCTATAATTGGAACATTAGTAAATGCTAATTCTAACCTGGCAGATGGGAAATATCTGGACACGCAGGAAATGCAAATACGTTGTAATACATCGTAACACAAAATCAATCGCAGTCCAAACATACCTGTCTTTATAGATGTCATTATACTTCCTGCACAATGACATTTCAACTAGAAATTCAACTACGGCATTCACTGCTTTGGTCAACAGTTGCGTTGCTATGTCACTGAAGTACCTAGCAACCGATCACATGACAGGCCTCGTTCAGACACCTTCTGCAAGTGGAAGAATTCCAACTGTATCTGCCAATATGCTTAAAAACATGCAAAATCACAATGACACCTTTACTTAAGTCAGAGACTCAGACGAGCACTTCAGCTGACAGAAAGGTATCTTGGAAATATATATATATAAAAAAATATATTTGAATTCCAAAATGTAGTGTGTTTTAGTTAAAGTAACTACAGACAACAGGGGAGTGAATAAGTCGGGATTGCGGCCGCAGATTCTAGATGGCGAGTGGATTCTCTGCATGCCGGTAAGTGTTTGTGAACAGTACACACAAAATGCGCTGCAGCCTTACTCTCTTCTCTCACATTTCTGGGGCAGCACCATCTCTGAAATGCGACACCAGAGGTCATCGAAAAGCTCCATTATTTATGGCGAGTTGTACTGGTAACGCATTTAAAAATGCAGTTGTATTAGGGCTGACGCTGACATTTCCAAGGTCGACAACAATGACAAACACTGGACCCCACATCCATTATTTTAAAAGTATAACAGATTGAACTTTAACTTATTATTAACATTGCTTATTTGTTCATGTCACAATTAGCATTATATTTAAAAGCCAAAGGGGTGTGGAGCCCATTCCAAGCAGCTCAGGCCACAAGGATGAGGTTCCAGTTCATCACAGTGAACATACACACACATTTAGAGACACAGGTTTGCCTAAATGAAGAGTGCCTAGAAAAAACACAGGGGGAACGTGCAATCTCCACGCACAGGTCAGAGGCAAGGTTCAAAACCCCAAACCTGGAGGTTTAGGCAAGAAAGCTATAAATAAACGTAAATTTTACATCAAATTGTAACTAAATTTTGAACTTGTTATCCATCCACCCACCCATCCATTTTCACTGGGGTCTAGAGCATATCCTGGAAAAAAATGACATGTAAATATGGTTAATACAGTATAATAAGGTATTCCCCTGTGAAATACTGAAAAGAACTGTCCTAAGATGTTAAAAATTGCATTATTGTGAAGTGAAAACGACTGTGGCAGAACCCTAAAACAGTGTTCCCCAACCTGGTCCCCGACAGTACACGTTTTTGGGGAGCAAAAATGTGGACTGTCTGGCAGGGAGCAAAAATGTGGACTGTCTGGCAGGGAGCAAAAATGTGGACTGTCTGGCAGGGAGCAAAAATGTGGACTGTCTGTGGGATTGGGAAACACTGCCCTAAAAAAACTGTCACATTTTTAGGCATTAATTTAGACATTCTTTTCTGTGTGCAATGTACACATGCAAAAAAATGGGGGAAAAACAATTTTCTGAATGTTTTTATTTGAATATCAGAGGATATTTACATACTTTGGTTTTAGGTGCTGACATGTTCATTTTCCAATTCCAGCCCCAAATAGCAAAATAAAATACAAATATTACTAACAGCACCTCACTGTTCTTTGGGTTGTTATTTAAACCAAAACAGAATTATGTGGTACACATTCCTCAAATTTAGGATGTTTCAGATTTCACCAGTGGTAACTAAATTCATTGTAAAAACGAGGTAAAAATTATGCTGTTTTTACAATGTGGCAATGAAACAGATTTCTGTGAAAAAAAGAGCCCTTTTTGCACCGGTCTTTTACAAAGCAATATGGTGTGACTGGAATGACGTCCAAGCATTCATAAGCCAAATTTCTATTGCTTGTAAAACATGGAAAATAAATATTGGATCAATGTATTTATTTTACAGCATCGGCATTAAACAAAGAATTAAAGCCTTGCTAAAACAAAGCTGCAGCTTCTTTTAAGATTTAACCCTTAGTTTACATATATTATTTAATGAGTCCATTCCTTATACAGAGAGTCCTACCAGCCGACTGCAGTCTGCAGGACACAGAACACAGCTGGGGGTGCGTCACCCAGAGCAAATGGGGTACCGGTTGCCATAGTGGGAATGACTGCATCCACTGCATAAAACGGTGGAGATCAAAACCAGGGACTGAGTTACAATTGTGAACCTTCCCTCATTACCGCCCCAGAAATCCACTTTTCCTGTTGCTCATCCACACACTTGTCTGAAACTCATATTTATTTCTTTAGTAAATGACCAAGATAAAACAGGAACAAAACTGCATTTGGTTTTATGACAGGCAAATAGACATCAAACATGTTCAAAGGCTTTCGTTTTACTACAGAATTCACTACATTAATGGCCAAAAAACATAAATCACCCCAACTGAAACCACGGAACCAAAACTATAAAAACTAACAATGCTCTTTCTCTGATGCCAAACAAAAAGCACCGCACCTTTACGCACTGCACCCGTGCGCACTGCACCCGTGCACACTGCACCCGTGCGCCCTGCTCTCTACTGGCAACTGTGCCTTTATCTGTGGTCATAAACCATCTGAAAGATGTAGTCCCGGGCGTCCTGGATGCTGGAGGGCATCTCCGGGTCGCCCTTCTTCACGTGCGTGCCGATGAGGAAGAGCTTCCGCTCGTCACCCACGTCCGCCAGGCCCAGGGCCTCGTGCAGCTCTGTGATGCTGCAGGCTCCCTGCAGGTCCTGCAAACACAGGATACCAGTGTAAGCCTCATGAAGAACTGACCACAGCTGCACATTCCAGATACTTTCTGGTTAAAACAAACCACATCATCATCATCATTTACCTCATGCGACTGGAATAATACTGAAGCAATTAGTTTTAAGGTGCTTATTCAGGAGAGCGGTAAGACAGAAATTCAATTCTCAGTACATTTTGTTACAGCTATTTAGCAGATGCCAGAGACATAGATCTTTTGAGAAAGCAGGGTTAGACTGTCCCGGGAGCAATTGGAGGTAACACCTGAAACACTAAACGTTACATCAACAGTGGCATTCGACCTGATGTACCATGCAGATCTGTGTGTATATCATCACACAATATGAAACAGAAAAACGTTCTGCCTATGTGTTTTTATACTGTACTAATTAATCTATTTCAATAACCAATCACCCAATGGAGGGACATATTCCCTGTCAGAATCGTTCATAAGAGTCATAACTGCCTGTCAAACACTACAAGCTCGATGTGACCAGGGCAGCACACACGCCGAACGGGAGTACCCTGAGGAAACCTCACAGCGACACGGAAAGAACATGCAAACTCCACACACATGGAGTCATGGCGGAAACTCGAGCCCGGATCCCCAAGGTGTGAGGCAACAGTGCAAACCACTGCACCACTCCCTAAACCAAACATATAAGAAACCAAACGAGAACCAATACTGTGTAACTGGTCTGCGTAACC